ACCAAATAAAACCACCAGGCAAACAAATGAGAACACAGCATGTAAAAAGGTTTTCAATAGTCATATTAATGACAAAATCCTGCATGAAGAATGACTTCTATTCGCATCATCTTGCTTCACTTCCATCTAGATCCATTAGCCGGACTAACAGCATCAGAAACTGCTTTCAAGTTCCCTGAAATAATGAGAGCATTACTTGCTGGTGGGATGTCTTCCTGAAAAGGAGCCTCACTGTAGGACATGTGTTAAGCTACTGAGGAAAGAGGTGTCCTTCCAGGAACATGCAACTTGCTATTGTAGAACAAAGACAAAAACGCTCTTGCGGTTTCCAAAAGAGGCGCTTTTAAAAGTCCACTGAGAAACACAATCTAGGCTAATACTTAAGGGACAGTTCCCCCTTAAAATCCAAAATACATATTTTCTTGTGAGCAGGAATTAAGCGTGCAGCATGGGATGTACACCATAATGGCGTCCCTTCTCCGCCGAGCTGTAACGTTATCAAGCTCACCTAGCACCACGGAGATAGTTAATGTTAAGCTACACCCAACACCCATCAGTGACGTATCTTTAATGAATAACAGTGGCTCATTATAATGAGAATGAATTAAAAGAAAAAAGTAATATCCCGTTGTTCCCAGCCACACTTGTTCTCTGTCTGTGTGTGTGTGTGTGTGTGTGTGTGTGTGTGTGTGTGTGTGTGTGTGTGTGTAAAATATGGTCCCAGACACACCTACTACAGCGGGAACTACCACAGAGGCAGTTTTGAGAACTTTCCCACGTGTTAATATGTCTGTCTGTCCGTCTGTGGTCAGATTGTGTTGCGATAGCGTCACCACCACGCAAGATAAAGTCACGAAACCTAAAAACTTGTGCGGTTGAGATCAAACGGAGGGCTGAGTTTGAAAGATGGGTGTTGTCTGTCTGACCCATATTTATATACTCTGTGTTTATAAATGTTTACCCTGTAAATGTGAAACTGTTGTCATAATGTTGAGTTATGCGATGGCAACCTGGAAATGTTCAGATGGATTATCTTTTTAAAAAACCCAAGAAGCGATACCATCTTATTTTATTCTGGCTTTGCACTCATCATACGTGGATTTGTGGTATTCGCTTTGCTGCAACATCCAGTGTGTAGCTGAATTTGCCTTTACAGTGTTTGTGCGATTCCTTAAAATAAAGGCAAGCTTAACAATACTTGGTGAAACAAATGGTAGCATGCGGTCACTGGGTGAGGTTGAGGGCTGAGCGACACTACGGAGAGAGGAAACAGTGTGGAGGGGAGGCCCTTCCAGCTGTTTTTCAAGAAAGTAGAAACACCAAGGTCGTGAACCTTCCAGCTGCGTGGATACAGTTAATACAGCCGTGCTGCGTAGAGGACTGACAGACTAAGGACAGATGGACATCAACAGGTCCATCTCCTTTTTTCCAGCTGTTGTCAGAGCGGGAGCGGCCCCCGAGGCACAATGATTAACGCCTCAGTCAAATGCTACACAAACCAGATGGTAGAGATGGAAGAGAGGGGCAAAGTCCTCTCTCTCTCTCTCTCTCTCTCTCTCCTCCTCCTCTTAACTAGTAGCATACACAGGAAGGCATGAGATCCCACCCACACACACACACACACACACACACACACACACACACACACACACACACACACACACACACAATGACCCTCCACATATGCTTAATTATGCCTGGAATTATAATCATATTTAATGTTGCTTGAACGGCAGCATAAAAAACACACAATTACACAAAAGGAAGTTTTTTTTTTTACAACATTACTATCTTTGTGTGCCCAACCCATAACTGCCGACTAAAAGGCGGAAGGCTACTCTCGGCCTTTGGGGAAAATAAGAAATGTCAATCGTCAGCTGAGACGAGACCAAAAGCTTTCCTACAAAAGAAACGTGTAATCAAGACAATTTGTCCCTTCCTTCATTTTAAAAAACGTCCTCTGAACCGTGGACAGGACGTTCGATATCAAACTACCCAAACAAGCTCACAAACGGGACATTGTTGACCGTCTACTAGGGTGGAACAGTAATTCCATTAACGCCTCAAGTCTGTGTGCATCTGTGTGTGTGTGTGTCACTGTACGCGTGTGTGTGCACGAGCAGGCGCCTTTTTCACACATATGTGAGCTCGTAGGGGACCATCGTGGCATCCATCGTGGCAGATCCCCTAAGCCTGCTGTACGGAACATTTCTGACAAAACACTGAACTGGCAGGAGCAGGCATCAAAGCACCCCCCCGCACACACACACACACACACACACACAACATATTGACTCAAATCATAAGCTCGATCCTTTTCACAAGGCACAGAGCATCTCACATATCAAAGGACTCTCCCTCAAACACTCAATAGCATCCCTTTCAGCTTACTACATGAAAGAGAACACTGTGGTGTCTCATAATATGCCGTTTTCCCCCCCCCCATTCACAGAGGCAAACTTCAAAAGGAGGGCTAAATCAAGTTGGGAACCTTTCACTGTCCCCTTGGCTTGGTGTTTCCTGGTAGTTCCAGTCAGAAATGATCAGGAGGTGACAGGGTTATTCATAATTTGGCGCACTAAGGGCCTTACCAGATATGCCCTTTCTAGATCGGCCACTTTACACACTTCTCTGGGGCTTCTCTGACTTGCAGAGAGAGTCGAGGAAGAGAGAGAGTGTGAATATGTATTGCAAACATCTGGCCAAGTCCTTATCACCATGGGAAAATGTCTAAGGACAAGCCCGCGTTATCCCTGCTCCAGGGCCCCCGTTACTTGTCTCATCTGGACTTCAACTTGTGGTTTAGCAGCCGTGTCAAACTCTCAAAGCAGGGCTTCTCATTTCTGGGGAATTACAGTAGAGCGATTTTTGCCGTCTGTTCCCCGCCTTTTCGTGAGAGCTGGACCTGAGGCTGTTTTGCCTTCAATGCCACGCACTGGCCTCCACATTTGAACTATGTGGGCAGAACTAAGTAAAGTCAGTAAATTGAATTAGGCTAGCAGAGTGAGAGTGAAACAACGGCAACCGACTCATACTGTTGTTGTCGTTTTTTGCTCTTGCCAGAAATGAAGCGAGTGCCAACTTGGTTATAAAGCCTATCAGTCACTATATTCAACAACACTTCCAAGAACTAGAGGCAAGGGCCCGATATTAAGATAACGTATTGGGTCTAAAAACACAGATCTTCAGTCTGAACCTGTTTGACTAAAAGGAATTACACACACTTGAAGGGCACAGGTACACTTTAAAAAAGTACTCATAAAGCATTGTTGAAGTTTTTAAAAGAAACAATCAAAATTGATGCAGCAGAAGCAGAGATATTATCTAGTGTAGCCTCGAGCTGCTATCCTCAAGCAGAGACAAGGACTCATTTCTTTCTAACTTTCTAACTCATTTTCAACCTTATAGTCTTGTGACCTCACTTGAGAGTATTCCCCAAGACCTGTAAACCCACACTGAAGTGTAAAATAGGTGTTAATAAGAGTTCCCCTTTAAAAAAGGGGCACAGTAGCAGCTGTACTGTCAGTAAAGTCACACAAGGACAGTGCTGATTCTCTGTGGAGGTACAGCCAATGAAATGGTGATGTGAGGGTTTAAATTGGGCTGGGTATTGTTTAAAATGTTTTGGTCCCGGTCCTGATAACATGACTTTGATACTAGTTCCTTAACAATACCAATTTTATTGAATATATTTTAAGGGAATGGCGTTACACATTGCGGTACAATTACTCTCTTTAACTGAGGAAGCTGTTCACAGACCTGTGAAATGAAGAAACTGATGGAATAGCTGTACAATATTGGACTATATAAAAATATAAATGACTTTCGAAAGGAACAGTGATAGCAAAAAGTATGGCAATAGGCCATTGTAGCGTCTAATCTGCAGAAGACGAAGAAGGGAATGACTGTGGGTGACGTTGTTGGTACTAGAAAATAGCAGCAGAGTGAAACCTCTTACTTTCTCTGTGCAACTTCAGGTGTTTTTCTCCCCCCCCCCACCAAACAATAAGGCCTTTTTCAAAACTCTGTAGTATCGAAGCAGTTCTGTTTGTGCTGTAAAAGTATTGAGGTTCAATACCCAGCCCTAGGGTTAGAAGGGGCAAGGTGCAGGAGGGACCCACACTCACTGTGCGTATTCAGACTGAATGTGAGGTGAATTTTAGAAGCAAATGCATATAAAGTCGATGCAAAGACACCAACGGTCACAACAGTTCACCGCGTGCAGAAAACGTTTAAACTTGACCTGAAAATCTGAACCGATCCTGAAGATTTATGACTCCGTTTAAAGAACGTATGGAGACGGGAGGAAAAAAAGAGGGAGACGGACTGGAGCAAAGTAAAAGAAAGCGCTGAGGTTTCCTGGCGTGTTCTGGGATTAGTCAGAGGCTCTTCATGGGCGGAAAAACACTCCAGCGGTCAGATTCACGTGAATAAAAACAAAAATTAGCTTCGGATTCTGTCTGAAAACACCTTCAGAGTTCTCAACCAAAATTACAAAGTTTTGGATCCTGATTACATGTCGGTAGCAGTGATCAGTGCAACGCCTCACTTTGATTATAATGGGAAAATGTCTGAGTACACAAAAAGACAGAGTATCCTTCCAGCATGTATTCCTGTGTTTCACGATGACAAAGATACACATCAGCAGACAGACAGACAGACAGACAGTTCCTTCTGCCAGCCGTACCAAATGAAAGCTACTTATACGTTCCCATAATTTACTAAACTGCTGTGCAATGTTGGCATCCTTCACCCATTGTGTTACAGTGCATTTAAGTTTGAATGACAAAAATACAGAGCAGTAAATTAGGATTAAAGAGAAAAGCAGTTGGGCAAGCGAGCCACTAGAGAACTGAACCGGTGCCAGCGCACCCACACACGTTGGCACAGAGAGAGCTCATGCACAAACGCAAGAAAAAGATGGGGAGTATTCGTGTCTATAACCAGACCAGACAAAGAACACGGACAACCTAGATGGGCTGAATTAAATATGCTTTCACCTTCTCGCACCCAATTAAAGTCCGCCATGCTCCCAGCAGTGGTCCCAAGAGGACTCTGACCCCGACAGAAGCTCAGCCGTGCGCATCGTACGGTCGATGCCACCGAGAGAGAGAGAGAGATGTGATAAATAACAGATTAGATATTACACAAGTGATCAACGTTGAACAAATGACTCAGTCACATCCCCGTTAAGTCAAAATCATCCTTGTCGTGACATGGAAGTTCCCAGCAACAACTGTGAGAAAGTGGCCATAGTGTCAAAAACAAAGAACAAGCTGAATGATAACAGTGTCACAGAGGTGACATTCCTCGGTGGTAGGGTAGCCGACATCTTTTCTTTTTAGCTGTGGCCCATTAGGGGAAGCCTGTAAGCGGTCTTTCTCTCCCGCCCAGCTGGCTGCGCAGCACTATTACAGGGAAACTGTTTGGACTTTGACCCCGCAGCCTGCAGAGAGCTGGGAAAAAACTCCTGCGCTGCTCTGCTTCTGCCCTCAATGAGAGATCCAGGAACCAGACAGGTTGCTTAATATTCAGCCCTTTTCCTCCCGCTGTTAGTGAGTTATGGTGGTCTTAATAATGTTCATACCAGCACTTGTGAGATTTTCCCCAATGTGAGAGCAGGTGTTGTGTTGCTTTTTGATTGGTGGTTGTTGTCCTCCAGGGGAAAAACGAAATAAAATCAAACACTTTTCCCCCATCAACTTTTTTTCCTAACATTACCATTTCTTCCCCCTCCTCGTGTTTCAACAAATGAGCTCACTGTTTTTACAATGATTAGCACTTGAGGGACACATTCACTTTCAGCAGTAAATGTACGAGGCCCTAAACAGTTTCGAATGTTTGCCTAAAGATAACTACAAAATACACCACGCAGATCTGAGAAATGAACTCCCGCTAAATCGGAGTTCATGCAGAGACAAAGAAAATAGAGGCAGCCAGCATGGATTCTGTCAATACAAAAGGCAACAGCTCAAATTACATAAAACCCCCGGAGGCAATTGGTGCAATTTAAGTGCAGACAAGGTTTCATCTAATTTCCTGCAGACAGAAAATCAAAAAACCAAAAATATTGCTTTTTATAATGCGTAAAATTGAGGCGCAGCAAAACAACTAGGACAAATCTCCCGTGACATACACAACAAAAGCATCACAAGTAGACTAATCTGACTAAAACTAGGACATGAAAGTTAAAATCCTGAAAGCAATGCAAAGAAAACTGCCATGAGAGCCGTAAAGCAGTGCTTTTCCCACTGAAGTTGAGTTTCTCCTCTGCACTTCTTCCCCTGATGTGAGAGACAACCATTGTATAGATTGCATACCTGTGATTGTTCATGGCTACACATGATACCAGAGCAACACAATGCTTTGAAGAGGACAGGGCTTAAGAGAAAGACCCCCCCCACACACACACACACACAAAAAAAAAGCAAAAACCTCTTCAGGCCTTCCCAATTAGAAAGAAAAATGACACCCACCACATAATCCGCCACCTGTCTTTAAAAAAATAAACATATGCAGAAGCCAAGTGTAATTCATTGAGAATCCAGGTACACGTGGAAAAGCACCGAGAGCGCTCCGAGTGGGAGATAAACAGCCTACGACTGATTAAAACTGCAAAGCCTTCACTCTGCCTAAGTAGCTTGGTGTCCTTAACGGTGGGGGCGATTATCCCCGCGCGAGGGCTTGGGGGGGGGGTATATTAGACTAGTCAGAAAGCAGTTAGAGAGAGAACAGCCAGCTGGTCTAGCCACAGCATCCAAGGGTGAAGAAGCATATCTATCACTGTGGAGCAGATGAGCTCCCCAGAGAGCGGCGCAAAAAAAAAAACCCCTCTGGGGGCAAACACATAGAGGCATCGAGTGCTAAGAATGTGGCTCGCCATAGTCGGCGATCATCAGCAGTTAACGCAGTACGCCTGCAGGGATCCTCATATGGGGAAGGCTGGCTCTACACGTAGGACGCAATTAGGTGTTACTTTAAAGTTTTATAAAAGTTAAAATTTCAGAGGGTTGGTGCCGTCAGCAGAAGAGGAGAGAAGAGCTGCCGGGGCCAATGAGGCTAAAAGAGAAGAGTCTATTTTCCAGGGTTAGGATGAATAACACACTTGAGCGGTCCATGGAGAGGGGGAAAGAGGTCTTTGTGTAACGGCAGAGTCACGGTCATGTTGACAATAAAAGTCCCTCTTGTCATGGGTTAGAGCGGTTTAACCTTTTGATCCTCTTTCCTCCTTAATGTGGTTTTTTGAAATCTTAAAAAAAAAAAAAAAGTTCTAGTACCATCTAAAGAACCAGATTCACCAAAAGAAATTGAATAAATTAGTAAATAAAACAACCATGGGAAACTTTAAGCTCTTAACTGCTGCTGCTAAGTTTACTTGGTAGAAAATGTGGTTTACATTCCTGACATTGTGTTGTCTAGATAAAGAAATTTAAATTTAGAAAGGAGGTCCATAAGGCAGAAATGTCGCAACAAAAGCGATTTCCTTTCGTATTTTTAACCGTGAGCAAAAGATCCCAATCCCACAACAAAAGTTTAATATTACACATAAATAATAAATTCAATCATTTATAGGAAGTAATCAGTTTCAACTCAAAACAACTGATGAAACAGATTACATCGAAAGTTTTAACTAACACAAACTCAATTCTGTAAGTTAAGTTAACACTAACTTAGTTTAGTTAAGCATTCCTGATGAAGTAGTTTTACTATGTATTTTGTTTTCACAGTACAAATAAAACTTGATCAAGAATGTTTTGTTAACTTACAAAATTAAATCCGTTTTACTTAAAATGTTTTGATGTAAATCAGTTTCAAAGTGACGGATTAACTCAGGACTTTAAAATCGCTCTACTACTGTCATTAACTTACATTCACTACAACAAAATTACCCAAACAACGAGGCATGGGACAACGTGAACGTTTCACATCACGATTATCGTGGCAGAAATAATTTGCGAAACACGTTATTATCACGTTACTATCATGAAAACATACTTCATACTTTTAAAAATGGTAATAAACATTTCGGAAAGAACTGGAAAGTGGAAACTAGCTTCACCCTTCAAAATAAAAGACTGTATGCTGATGAGTTAGACAGCCTTTTTTTTTTAAGTCAACCATGTAAAGAAATTCACGATTATCCCGATTTAAGATAATCACATTAATGGAAATTCATCACGATAAATTTAGTGTTTTTAACGCAATACAGGATAATATCGTACGTTGTCTACAGCTGTGTATTGGCACAAATACCTATCACGATACAGGGGTTACGATTCAAATACACCGCGATATATTGTGATACTGTAAGCAAATTAACATATTACAATGTCTTTTTTTAATCTATTTTTTGGGGGAAAAAGAAAACACAACCATATGCATAAAATCTGAGTTTAAAAAAAGTTAACTTTTTAATGCACAGCCCTTTTAGTTTACATTGACAACCCTGATACCTCGCAGGTTGGGGCTTAAAGCACACAATCAATACAGTATATCTGAGAATCAATACACAAAATAATGCCATTCAATATTGTTTGCCATCCCTGAGATGCTGCATTTGCATACCTGAGCTAAACATGTAACACAAAACAACAAGAACCCATCATTATCATTTAAAAGCTGTGTTTAATACCAGTGAGAAGAGCAACTTTTTCCAAAAACAGGGTGTCCTGAAACGCCCCCCCCCCCCAACCCCCAACCCCCATAAATCCATGTGTCAAACCAGCGGGGCTCCTCGCCAACACAGAGCCGAATTAGACGTTTCGTGTGCGGACAGAAAGAGGTTATACATCGGCCGGTAAAGCCTGTTAAAGAACTTAATGCCACCAGGGCACTTGGCACCGCATCAGTGTGCAGGGAGCCCCTGATCGGTCGGTCGGTCGGTCGGTCGGTGGAGCCGCAGTCAGCGACGCAAAGGGTGGGAGAAAACTTCCCGGAGGCACCACCATGCTACTGCCGCTGGACCCCCCCCCCTCACCCGGACACCTTCCATCCACCACCGGGGGGCTCACAACCAAAACACTACCCCCGTTTTCCAGCTCCGCCACAAAAAAAAAAAAATCTGGCGTAGCGTGAATTTAAAGCACAAAAACAATAAGCGACACCCGACGACGTTTTAGGGTCGAAACCCCAACCGTCAACCGTTGTAACCCCCCCCCACACACACACACACACACACACACACACACACGGCGACCGTTAAAGTTTACATTTTTACGTTAGATTTTGTGTCCAGTCAACAAGGCTAAAAATATATATTACTGCTTTTAAAAAAGGACAACAACAACAACTTCACCTTAAGTTTAAGTGCAGCTCCGGGAAATCCACGCAGCAACTTGCTCGCGCTCCCGACGTACGTTACCGCTGTTGCTCAACTTGTGGAGCGAGAGAGCCAGAAACCCAGCTGGGTGACAACCGTTGTCAAGGTAGGAGCAATCAGAGCAACGGCTTCCGGTGTTGGGGGGGGTTTCAAAATAAAAGGGGCACTTTTTTTCCCCCGCTGGATGACACAATTTTATAGCAAATAAAACATCCAAACAAAGCGAATAAGCAATTCATTCATAGAAACTGAACTGTGGTGCATATTTTATTGTTTTGTTGTGTTCTTTTCAGAAATTCCTCATACGGGTCAAGTGGGACGCAAGATTTTATTTTTTCAAGCAAGTTCCGGTTGCAGTGTCTGTGACGTGTGTGAAAAACGGCTGTAAACAAACAGATGAATGAATAAACAAACAGATTAATACATGTTTTTATTTAGACATGCCGTTTTCGTTAAAAAGGTTTTAAATACATTAATTATAAATTTTTATGCATTCCGACCAACCTAGCTCGTTCTTCTATTCGTTCTAGTTGTGTTTGCTCATTGAAACATTGGCTCATTGCATGAAGCAGAAAAAGTCAGTCTTATTCTTATAATTATCCGTTTTCACCATAAAATGTAAATGTAAATTAATGAAATTAATTATTTGAACTGTTATTGGATGTGTATGTAGCTACAATGTCCCAAATGACATAGGATATTCCTTTCAGAATAATATGCTTTAATATTCTGCATCATGTTATTTTTGAAATCTATGTTCATACAATGTTTTTTTTCCTCTCATTCAAACTATCCTTTAATTCTTGTGCGTAACCACCATTTCTGTCCAGCAAGCGCTGGCATGCCATTCCTCAGACTTGTAATTCCCAGGCAAGTTAAATTAGGTGGGGAAATCAATTATCACTGAATAATTCTACACTGTAAGGGTAAAACTATGGGCACTTTTTCCCAGGGAAGGACAAAACTTATGCCTGACATTCATGGATGATGTCATGAAACACTCACAACAACAGTAAATAAATAAATCTAAATTTAAATATATATATATATTGTATGTTCCTGTACCAGTCATTAGGGGTTATCCTCAGTTGGCCCATCAATCAGATGAATGTAAACTGATGTTTCTTTTAATAAAGTTTCCACTTAAAGTGACTCAAAACAACGTTCCCTTCGAGACAGTTTAATTTATGGACCATCACATGTTGTCGATGACTGTTCCCTGGTCATGTTTCCATGCCTGTGAGTGACCGGACATCCCCTTTCCAATGAATGCTTGAGCCCATGCTGGTTCCACTGAGGAGGGCTTTGGGTTTCACGACTGTCAGCTTTTAACAGGTGGCTCGTGGTACTTGTTTTCCATGTGTAACTCAGTTGTTTAAGGGAAAAATCTCCTATATGAATGAATACTTTCCACGTCCCCGGGTTTGTGAATGTTGCCCCGATCATTTTCAAGCACGTGTACAGCACTGACAGAGGAGGGAGAGGTGGACCGTGGCCCAAGGAAACCCAGCCAAGGAAACCCAACACTCCAGGCCACTGGGACCAATCCCAAGAATGCTAAACACTCAGCAATACATATTCTTACAATTTTGTGGGTCCTCAGCATGGCAGTGTGATAAACAGTTGCAGATTTCAACATGAAGCTATTAAGAAATCTCATAACTCTCAGCTGCTGACCATCTTGTTTATCTTTAAAAGAAGAGAAGGCAACTTGCTTTTGACTGCTCCTCTTTTAATCATCTAATACCGCCGCTGAACGGTGACGGCGGAGAACTCTCTGACGAGCTGAATTGATTTGAGTCTGTCTGAAATAGCTTACAGGTCACCGTTACATGTGCGGGAAAAGTAATTCCAATGAATGACATGGATTATTAACTTCAGAGAGATTATGTGCCTGTGGGTAACCCATCAACACTAAATTAAATGCTGAACCGAACGCCACTAGAAGTGCATCACTCTGGGCAGAGGGGGAGGGAAAAAAAACATAATCATCCAAAATGTGAAGATCTGTCATGAGCTTATAAATGCTTTCATTAAGAATTTACATCAAATTAGTAGGGGTGACTGTGATGTTTTTATTAAAACATAAAAATGTAAACACATACAGTACATACACAGAATACATGAGTAGTTACCACTGAAGATACGAGACCACGGAGGCTGAACGTTTGTGATGAACGTGGACCAAAATGTCTTGAGATGAATTTCAGCAGGCTTTAGAGAAGTGTGTCTGGTCACCCTTTTCACATCTTTGTCTTTAAGAACAGTGCCATCTGCTGTTACAGAGGTAGAGGGGAGGGACCGCACACGTGTGTCCACACACACACACACTCACACTCACAGGAAGAGTGATCCTCGCTACAACTCACTGCAATGCAGCATAAAAAAACACCTGCACGCTGCTCATGTCAGCAGCAACGCCGTTTGTCTTTAGGGCTAGAAGAGCCAAGTTTATGCCACTTCTCTCTGGACAAATCAGCCTCCGAATATGAAGCCAATGACGCATGGGCTTAGACTGCTTAATCTCATGTGATGACTGAACTGTGTGGTTATACATCAAGACTAACTTGTGAACATTCAACAGATGAAATGTCGACAGGGGCCTTATACTGCACATTAAAACTACACAATTTGATCCGCAGCTGAGCTCTCTGATGGGTTTTTATGATCAATACACTGTTATTATATCCATCTGTATGGTTATGTGTGGTGAATCAGAATCAGGAACAGTTTTATTGCCAATAAAATTTTCTAATACAAGGAATTTGCCTTGGTAGCATTCATAATTTTTGTAAACAATACTGTGGTTTTCACATTTCTTCATCCGCTCGGTCGTACCAGCGAGTTAAAACAACTTCACCAACACCCCTTTCTCCGTTATGCTGTAGCTCGAACGAGATTGCAAGCTTTAAAGGAATACTTGCAAACGCTGGCGGCTGATGTCATGATGTCATAAAACTCTGTCACCAGAACCGCACCCCGGGGGCTTGAAATGATAATCGTAGCAGCTGCTTTGGTGAGCGGCTGACTCCAGGCCTCTTTCAGTAAGAAGCATTTACAGCGTGTGTAGCTTTTTGAAGGTGCAAAAAATAAAAAAAATGTCTCACCAGTTGCATAAAAATGTCTCTTCTCATTTAAAATACTCTTTGTAAGTGCTGTAATGCCACCATGTTACTGGTCCTGATAAGAAAAACAAGAAATATAACTGCTTTTAGAATAAACGTGTCTCCGTTAGTCTGAATGTCTGGAGGATGAGATGTGGTGCGTCTCGATCCGTCAGTGCTTTGAGGTGAGTGTTAGGGTGGAGGAGACACGGAAGATCTGAGGCAGCATATTGCTCAACTGGTAGAACATCTCCTCTGAGATACTCTGTCGATACAAAAGAGACACAACCAGGATTAGTGAGCGACAAGGGACCGAGATTTGTTGCAGCACCAATGTAAAGAAGACAAACTCATGTATACACGTTTGCTGTGACAATGGAAAGGGAAGCAATGAAACAAAAATACATCTGGACCGTTTGTGTACAGCCAAAGTGTTAACAGCCCCTGCGGTGGCCTTTAGTTCAACATCACAGGGTCTTTTCATCCTGAGGGAACAGTAGTCAAGATGCTCGAGTGATGTGAGCTCCGGCAGCTGTGACTTCAACGGGGGGGCGGAAACATACCGTGTCACTCTAAGCATCCCCACCCGTCAAATAAGAATGTTAAGTATTAATCTTTAAGCAGAAAACACAGTCACACTCGCATCCTTCAGCCACACACCAACACAGAGGGGTATATATTTAGCTAGCGCTCCTCTTTGAGGCGTAGGTGAAAACAAGAAGTGCTATTTTAAATAGCGTCTGAGCATGTTGACAGGAAGCCTATACAGTCGGAGTGCTTTGATGCCGCTGGTTTTTATCATCTTAACCTGTCAACATGAGATCTTGCTATAGGCTCTGCTGCCTTCCTGACAAACCACAATAGCTATAGGTATACAACATCCAGCTTAAAAATAAAGTAACAGTTATGCTTCATCCAGCGTTGAGGTCACAATTACTTGAGAAACTGATGACGCTGAACCTGAAGCAACATCTGTAAATTTGAATGCTATTTATAAAGACATAAGGTTAGACGTGGATATCCAAGTAAGTTTAAGATTACGCCTCGGTGTTGGGAATATACACGTTAATCTGTTTATATGTTATGTGGATGAGGGTCTGAGCTCTGTTTTATCACAGACATCAGTGCAAACAACCTAAAACTCTATTATCTATGATTTATGGTTATGCTTTTCAAACAGTCTCTTCATCTCCGCCTATGCTTAAAAGGTGTGTAACTGCACGACCAGGTGCGCCTTTTGTGATCTTGTGTACCAGTGAGGCCTTAAGTATACACTGTTGTTGAATTAACACAGAGATTTGCTGGCAAGCGAGTGCTCAAAGGGCCTCAGCTATAAGTTGTGAAACCAAAAATGCAGGTAGTACATTGTGCTCTCACCTTTGGCACTAGAAACTGGACAGTGCGTGATATACCTCCATCCCAGGAGGCCATCTCCATCATGAAGCCTGCAAATGAAAAAAGATTGGAAAGTGATACACATTTAACACAAAATCATCACTTTTAAATATCTATGTGTAATGTTTGTTGTATTAAGTTTAAAGTAAAGTAAACATTTTTTGTGTTTCTACCTGCACTCCCAAGCAAGAGAGGAACTGTTTTAGCAATCAACAGGAAGTAAGGGTGCCTCTTAGTTAAAACATATCACATTTTTGATCAGCTTCGCATTGTGGAAAATTCACAACACTGCCAGTAGACACACTGGTAAGTCTATCTCTTCGATTCTCTTTGCTGTTTGACTTTAAAGAAAGGTGTCCAGTACATGTTTTAAAAAGCTGAAAACCTCTGCTATCAAACTTCTGCATCACATCAACTCATTTTGAAAGGTGCAATGTAAAATGATGTTAGCATAATAGCCCCACAAAAAGAATCAATTAACTAATTTACAGTCATATAATATCAAACTCTGATCTTACCTTTGACACATTTGAAAACCAGCTCGGCTCTCTTAAGACACCACGGTATGGTCATCTCCTGCAGAGAGAGAAGAGATGAGAACACTGGATTGTTTTGTTTAGTGTGTTTAAAAAAAAATAAAGTGCAGCAAAACTAGTTCAGATATTACAATGTGATTATATGATAGTTTGTTGGCATGAAGACTGATTTTGATTAACTGGAGAGTGGCGATGGCCCAGACTCTGAATAGAAGTAATGATGCACTTCGATTTAGACGTAAGTAACATTTTATTAAAAAGAAATACTATTAATCGTAAATTATAAAACATGTATACCTTTTATAGGTCTCTGATTAGAGCAAATAAGGTATTGTTATCATCATTATTTCTATTATTTACCTCTTTTTCAATTCCATAGATGTAAACCAAAATCCCCTTTCATTTTGTTCTCTTCTTTTCAAATTGAAGCTATTCATTTATTTGTTTACTTATTATAATTGCTTATTTATCACAGAAAGCACAATTTTTGTTGGTGGTATCAATGCTGAGTCATATTAACAGTTAAAATTGTACATTGTACATTACTTAACTCCTTAGGGGTCTGAGTCTCATATACATATTAAGTAGGTCACACGCAAAGTCTCCTGTCAGGTGACTGTATCTATGCAGAACTAGCCCTTCTTATAAAGGCAACTTCTCATGTCCCTTCAGTTCGGAGTGTGTTTGGCTCCAGGCCGCCGGCTGCACACAGTGACCTCAGCAGGCAGTCATCTCTGCAGTCAACCTTTGCTCAGGGCGAGGAGAATCAGATAGGTGGAGTCTCTCCCAAACACACACACACACAAACACAAACACACAAAGCCTTTCACCCACTTAGAAATGTGTTCCAAGTCAACAAACTGGATCCATGAACTGGAGGCAGGAGAGCCATCCAGGCCCACATTTAGCCCCCTGTCAGCCGTGTCTCAACATAAACTGCACAGGCTTGAGCAATGTGTCTTTGACGAATTAACAATAGGATAGTATACTCAAGAGTTTTTCATCATAACTGAGGCTGGTACCGGCAGCGACTGAGGCAAGGACAGGCATTCCTTACAACCAGAAACGTGAACATAACAGTTGTGAAATTGGGCCTCATTGTCTGTGAACCGGTTTTCAATTTCATCTCCGCAAACGTCTAAACTTGCATTAGTGTAGTATTAAGCAATTCTTCTGTGTTCCTTTTGCCTCAAACTGTAAATACTCAAGGGAAAAAAAAGAATAAAACATTTTAAAATGGGAATAAGGGGCCCGGCTCAGTTGTTTTAAACGCCGAAACACAAGAATAGGCTTGTACGAACAGGCAAACATCTCCACTAAATGGCCGACGAGACCCAAAAGAAGGATGATGGATGGAAAGTTTTGATGTGAAACCAGAAGCTATCAATTAAAGTTCCTTTGGTTCCTGAGGCTTCAAAAGTTAGAAGTCCTTGGTTATGTAAACAAAGACTCTTGATTAGACATGAGAAGAAAAACTGCACTGGGCATGTTGTAGCATGAGTGCACTCCAGACTTGGCTTGCTTAGAATTTACTTTCCATCTTAATGGTATTTTCAGTTTATTAAGTTTTAATGTGTATTCAGTTGAAGGTCTAAGAAGGAGATGCTATTCAGGGTAAAAGAAAATCCCAATTCCATTAATTTTCAGCAGATCAAATAAAAAATAAAAAGATTTTTCTAATTTCCAGATATAAGAAGAAAATTCCACCTCATTGTGAGTGGATATTTGCCTTCACTCTGCTTGATTTGGGCTCAGTTCATCAGTCACTGAAAGCACTCTCTGTTACTCTTCCCTGTGTGAGTTCAGAGCGCTGCTGCACACTCTGAGTAAACAGAAGAGTTCACGACTCTCTCTCCTTTGCCCTCCTGGTTTTAAACCTGGAAAATGTTAAGCTGTAGGCCAAACTCACAGCCAGTGCCTTGACAAGCCAGACCACAGCTGAGGATGCAGTGCATAAACAAGCAGAGGCAGAATGAAAGGCAAGAAATTGTGACTACGCCATCGGGTTACGACCACGGAAACAGCAGGCTTTTCTTCCCCTTCCATCACAAACAATCACAAACTACTGAGGCTTAACACAGAAGTACAAGACCAAAGCAGACAGAAGATGATACTAATGGGGTTTATGATGAAGGTTCAAGAGCTGAATCTTCCCAGCTCAAGTGTTGTTGAGCAACACTGAATCCCTATCAGTTCCCAGGGTGGCGTTCTCTAGCCAAACGTGACCCTGAACTCCCGAGAGTGTATATAATGGTGGATGTTACGATATCTTTTGAGACCATTGAACTGTAAATGGTCAGGTTGGTTTGGTCAAGTGCATTCAGACTACTACCACCACTTGGAGAAGTTGGAAGTTTCACCATTTATCCATTACTTTCAGCTTAATATCTCAAGCATTATTCATTTTTAAGCTAACTATTTGAACCATTTAACTGTTTGGACTTCTCCGCTTGCTTGCCAACTACTTTTTATAGTCAGGTACAGAGGATAATTTGACTTCATATAGTACTTTATTTTCAAAAATTAGTAGAGCCGTACGCTGACAGACGCAGAAGAGCTCCCTGGGGTACAAGAACCCAAGACACCTTACTCACCTGAGGTACAAATTCACTAAATCTCACAGGATCACCGAATACAGAGCTAGTTGTGAGAAATGCTTACACTGCAGCCGTTTCCTAATCTGTTTAAGTCAAGTGTTTGATAGCCAACAATTGCACTGTCCAACTCAAACATTTACCTTGTTAGACGCTCTATTTTCTCCTATGCTCCATTTGGAGAAATCTGATGAACATTTTACACAGTTTTTGGAGCTGTACAAAGGAACTTGTGGAGTTTTAGATGTTTTAGTATGTTTGCTTATACTAGCGTCCACTGTGCTTCTCTTACCTCCGACATGTCGTGGACCAGCAGCAGCGGTACGGTGACGGTGGTGATGTCATGTGTGCAGCAGACTTTCAGGATGTTCCTCAAGCCCATGATGGCCGGGTCCCGGGCCGTGATGTTCCCCGACCGCACGTTGTCGTCCACGCACAGGTGGAAGACAGAATGGACCTCTGACAGGTTGGAGTGGCGCGAGATGTAAAACTCACCTTAGGGAAGAGACAGCAGGTACAGCATGTAAGTGTGTGATATTTGAAATAAGCTACGGAGAACGAGTATGGGCTAAAAACAATAAATCAGTGAGTCAATCTAAGTCAGTGTAAAAAATATATTACCTGGTAAGATATTGGATGGATTTCTTTCCACATTTTTGTTCTTATCATCACCGCCATTCCTTGGAATCTCTGCAAGGACACAGAATTCAAAATATACAATCAGAATGCATGTGAAATATCTCAGGAGGACACTTCATGGCACTAGCAGCTGGAATTTCCTTGAAAGGTTTGTAAGCTAGAAAGAATGTTTCTATATACAGCTCAACTCTGTGAACCACTCAGCCCATGCTGTGATAAGGATCTGGACATAGGTTCCTGTCAACACAGTAGCAGCGACGTAAAGTGTCTTCTACTTCCTGACAATTTAATCCCCCTCTCAAACTGCTGGCATGTCCCTCACATTCTCCAACTTTGTGCGAATGTTTGCAGTGAAAGTGTTTGTACTGCACTACACTGTGAGTCGTGTATGTAGTTGCACTTCCCCCTCGGTTCATTCTTTTGACTTTTACTCTCATGCTCCTTCAAAATAAGAGATAAGGATTCTCTTTCTTGTCTTGCTTAACATCAAATCAGATAAATTAGAGATCACCCACAAAGTGAGTATGCCCTGTATGTCGAGAGTAACTTCAGCAAAACACAACTCTAAGATGGTACAACAACTTGTATCCTGTTGCTCTGTGTCTCCGTGGCATGAATAACAATGTTAGTTAGGCATTTTATAGTGCATAGCTGGCTAAAAAAAGGCACCCCGGCTGTCTGGGATAATCACTTTTCCTCAGCAGCGTCTGTGTCCAGGTCTTTAGCTACACTTCTTGTGGAATGCAGATTCACGGAGGCCTCAGCCTCACCAGTCTTGCCTTCCTCTTTCTAACCTTCTTCCACATTACAGCTGTGTTGACAGTGGGACACAAGGAGCAGCCAAAAGCCTCACCAGGTTGTTCTTTCTGCTTGCTGCTCCGCTGGGCTCGGGCATAGAGCACCACCTGCTGCACCTCCTCCAGCTGCCCCTCCAGACAGGGAAAGTGGAAGTCTGTACACTCCTTCGCCACAGTTGCAAAGTCTGGGAGTCAACACAGAGCAGGTCAAAATCACGTCTATGCAGACCTCATCTCTGTAATTATGTCTGCATACTATACTACCACTCAAGAGTTAAAGGTGACTGAAGTGCCTGATCTTTAAACAAATCATTTCAAGAGGTGTGAAAGAATATGAATACATACATTACAATACATTGGTGCCAAAATATCACAAAGTTCAAAGAATTCTTATGGAAAATATCCATAACATATCCAACAGCTACATTTTATAGCAAATGTTCTACAAAAAAACACCCCAGGTTGTCCAAGTGTCCCTCTAAGACTCTGCCCTGACCTCTCTTGATGCCACTGTAGGAGTTGACCCTGTTGTCGACCAACAACACCAGACCGCAGAGTGAGGACGAGTAGAGCGAAAGGGCCGTCTGTAGCCGCCTCAGCTTTGCTCCACTGCTGCCGTGCCGCCGGTGCTTACAGAAGTCCAGCACGTCTGCCCGGACCAGCCGCAGGTTGTGCATCGTCTTCAGCTGTGCTCCTGAAATATATATATTTAAAAAAAATATTATACATTTTACTGTAGTTCACATCTGTTGGACACATATTTACACTCTTATACTACCAAAAATAGAATGTAGTGGAAGTGCTGAATGAACATGGTTACAGTTAATACTTGTTTGAAGTCAGGCACCTAAGTGTATGGTGAAACTCTCCTCCAGCTGAGGCTGCTCCTCAAACATCCTGGCCCCAGAGTCTGCGGGCTCCGACAGCTGGCTGGGCTGCACTTTAATCTCCTCACTGGAAATCAATCAGTAAAGAGATCCATCAAATCTAGTACACCTGATGTAGGTTTTATAGGTCCAATGAAAGAACCATCCAGAGAAAAGAGAAAATGAAATGCAGGCATAATATTTTAGTATTTTATAAAATAATTGTTATGCTGCCTGGAATATGACATTATTGAACATAAAGGGTACTTTTCACACTTTTAAAAGGAAAAATCCTCCAATTCAGCATCTGTTTTCGTGGCTTCTTCTTGGACTATAAATACAATAAAACAGGAAATAATATAGCGTGCCGTTTGACAGATACTTAGTTGTAAGCATTATCTGTTTTCATTTCAGCACTTCATTGACAAAAAGTGAGAAAACATTCAGCTTGAACTCTGGTTGTAGTTTTCCTTTACGGGCTACAGCTTTAAAAAAATGCCTATTTACAAAGTGTTCAAAGTGCTGATGTAGAAGTATTAAGTTCCACCCACACATAGCAAGATAATGATATTCATCATTAGGAAAAACTGATGCAGGGTCAGCATATTGTCTGAGAAGCTCTTAGCATACAGGTCCTGGTGGTATCTGTGTTTTGATGGAATATCCAATATATGCCGAGGAGTGGAAGACCTGAATTTAAACCACCACTGTGTGGGATCACATTACTGTTAAGCACTATTAGACTTCTTATCCCAAGATGCCAGTCATAACTGATACTGCAAAGCGGAGCATCAGTCAAACTAAGATGAGTTTTTGACCTCTTGTAATCACTTCAATTTCTATGTAAATGGAGCCTGTTCTTCAAAGGGCCAGCAGACACGTCGTGTTTTGGATTACTGCTGCAGAAGTCCGTTAGTTAAGGGACCAGTTTGATCTCTGGGCAAGATTCAGTAAGACTTTCCCATTAAAACAATTCACATAAGGGATATAAGCATTTTATTTGTACGTTTTAAGGTTTAAAAATAACTCTACCATTCTTAATCCCTCTACAAATAACCTTAAGCTGAACTTAAACCTCATAGGCCAAACAAGCCAAAGCCTCTACACAGATGGCTCACTGTCAGTGAATAAATATCACGAAGTGCCTTCTCACAATGCCACTCCAACGCCTCACACTGCATTCATCCTCGCCTGCACTGCAGCTTTTCTTTTTCCACCTAATAAGAATATAAGCGCCCGACTCCAGCTGCCATTATCTTGGATCACCTGCTTTGGCTTTACCCTGACATATAAGAAAAAGAGTGAGTGACAGAACTGAAAGAGCCTGTTCAGGTGCATATGGGAGTAAAGTGAGCGTACAGATACCAGATGTGTGTACACAAACAAAGTTTATGCTTCAGTATACACAAATATAACATGTTAACAGTCTGTTTGAGTAGATACACAAACACAAACAGACAAACCCACTTAATTTGGCTGCTGTTGTTGGACTTCTGCAGGTCCTGGTGCAGTTTGATGACCCACTCCTGATACTCCTGCTTTTGAATGTCTGTAACTTGCTTCAGCTCACTGGCCCACTTGTTCTCCAATACCTGCTCAAAAAAGACAAAAAGTAAAAAAAACCCAAAAAACTGAGGAACTTTTTTTATGAAGACAGCATACTTTCACTAGTCAGCTAGGGCTAATCTGAACCTGTAGTTGGAAAATTCCCCAAATGAATCCCCTGCCATGTCTGTGGAGAAATGATAACTTTGTACCTGGATCAAGGTACGCCTGCTTTTAACACTTCTACAGAGCATCCTGACTTCTTTTTTTTTTTACCTGCTGTGCGTCAAAGTGTTGCGAGGCAACTGCATTTACGTCATGGTCACTCAAAGTGTTCCCCAGCTCATGCATCACTTTGTCCATTTCAGCTGCTTGCCTGCCACACACAAAACATTCGTTCATTTAATACATCATCTATACAACTGAAAAACAGAGCCATGTGCTATTTCAACACAAGTTAAGAACACCGTGGGTTAGATGGCTTAAGAAATAGAAAGACAATAACTCATTGGCATAACAAGGTGCAAAAAGGATTTTCTGTTTACCTTTAGGTGTAAACTGAAACCTAGTGATTCCACCATCATGAGTAAAATGTGCAAAGCAGCAGTGTAATAAGTACAAGGAAATATCTTTATAAAAGCAAAGTAGAGAAAAGTCTCAGTGTCAAAGCCCAGACACCAGTGAGAGATAAAGAAACACAACATTAACACCTTTAAGTCATTTATACAGGGTTGGTATAAATGACTTAAAGGCCCATTTAGGAGGATCAAGTGGCAGAAATGTAATTTAATATTCATAGGTATGTTTTCATTAGTGTGTAATCGCCTGAAAATAATAATCATAGTGGAGGTTTTTTTTTAAACCTTAGAATGAGACGGTTTTATCTACAGAGGGAGCGGGTCCTCTTGTTGAACCACCATGTTTCTACAGTAGCCCAGAACGGACAAACCAAACACTGTGGGATGGTGTGGAAGCTGTCAACCTCTGGACCGACAGCATCTGAAAAAAGGTGGGTCTCAGTCCACTTGCAAGTGGGTGCATTTGTGGTTTGAAAGCAAAACAGACCAACAGATTTTATGATAGTAAATCTGTGATTTCAGCAGGAATTAAAAAGCTATACTACTATTAGATCCATCTGCTGATTGTGAACAGAAGATCCATCTGCAGCCTGTAAAACCCCCCGGGGCAAACAAATTGGTGGTTTTGGGCTATATAAATAAAATCCCTCAGTAACTATCTCCTTAAAAAGTTGGTGTGAACAACAATGTATAATGTTTAATCTTGGTCGGGACCAAATGAACCAATCTTCTTAGGGTGCAAAAGCACCTAGAAGAATACAGCTTTAGCCATACACTATGTAAATATACAAATAAAGATGGGGGAGAAATAATATCCAAGGATCCAGGCAATAACACCAACCTCTCCTGCAGCTTCTTAATCTCCATGTCTCTCTCACTGATGAGCTCGGAGATGCTAACAAAGTAGTTGTGCTCCAGGTTGAGAAGGGTATCAGAGGCAGGGGAGTGGATCAGCTCATGGTAAACATCGGCAAAGTCCTCATCCCAACTGGGCTCTTCGGGCCGAGCGTGCTCCAGTGTGGTCTGAAAACAGCGATAGAAGAAAGGAGTGTTTGCAAGAGGCAGCAGCAAATGGTTACAAAAAAGGCGGAAAGAAATGGCTTCACTGTTTGAAACTAATCACTTCTGGGTGATAATCTGCGGCACTTGCTGTGAGTCAGCGAGATGCTCAGAAGAATAAAATCAAGGACACATGAACAGGCTCTACCTTATGAGCGACAGCCGCCCCTCGAAATAAATAAACTGCAGGGGTGGAATGAGAGATAGAGGGAATATAATACCAACACATTTTGAATGTTTTGCTCCGCTCAGTAAACCAGGGCAGTTGATGCACCCCATCCATAATTAGAGAAGCAACATAAGAGTATTCAGAATCTGAAACTCCTCTATTTATACGGGCTCAGGAATCTTCAGGCCACAAACACGATGGACACTGGAAGGCTTCCATGTGTATTTCTGTGTGACTGCAGTAAAATGTTAACGGGTAGCCAGTCCTAAATGTCTGAGTGCAGTGGGTCAGAGGCTTCACAACACAAGCCGAGTTAGCCCTCGTCTTTCTATAAATGCCCCTGCCTGGGAAGAGTAAAACTAAATGATCTTATTGACCTTTTTTAAAACACGAAATAAGAGACAGTCACTTTCATTAAGAAGACCATGCTTAGTTTAATTATAAAACCCCATAGTTCACGTCTTGGTGTCACTACACTGTTTGTTTTGTATTGATCCAAAACATAAAAATGATCACTCTTTTCTCAATATGTGCAACCGCCCGCCACATATTGGATCACCGGGAAGAAACGCATTAAAGTGTAACCAAGTGCAATGGAGAGACATTAAACACAGCACTTGGGCTTATGCAATGAGATTTCTTTTTCCCAGGAACTCATGAATAATCAATTTGCAGATGCACTGCACTTCTTCTGTTTAAATTACTTTAATGATCCATGACTGCCTCGAAGTTAGAGGGAGCATCCGAGGGCACTTGAATACAGACACATGGATACAATGTGCTGAGCAGCCGGTGGTCTGAAATTTACTTTATGGAACACCTGCCAAGAATAAAACGTGCTGTACATATTCTACATATATGTATCTAGCTAAAGTTTTTATTTTTTTAACAATCTGTCTAATGATGTACCAGAAAATTCGAAGTGCAAAACAGCATTTTGAAGCCACAAACAGAAACTGTCAGACCTGATACGCTCATCCAGGCAGCAAACAGGAGGGGAACTGCAGAGAAGTTTATACGGCATGTGATTGATTGATTGATTAATCACAGAGGCAGCAAACAAACTGACTTTGAAACAGGTTACGTTTATGTGGATGGTCTCATTCAGTCAATAAACTGATGTTTATGCCATTATTCTCCAATCTAATGATGTTAGTCTACAACAGACTTTCCTTTCTTTCCTGTGAATATTGAGGTTTTTTTTTATATTTAGTACGTTTTTATACAATCCCCTCTCTGTATTGTGTATTTTATGATTTTTTAAATAATCATACATACTTAATAGGCTTATTTTTTATTAACAAGAGTGAATATATCTTCACCATGCCCTTATCCTGTGAGATTATTTACAATTTTATATCTTAATTAATAGTCTTAACTTTTAAAATAACAATTTAATTTAGTTTTCTTCACAAGAATGAATATAATGCTGAGATATAGGCCGACTGTGTATTTTTTTAATTGAAGAAGATCCCTGTGAAGCTCTGGCGACCCCTAGTGGGGGTCAGAACCAGTGTTAAAAGCAACTAATAGCTATTAAAAACCCTGAGATCAGATTTTAGACACAATAACATACTGATATGTGTTTATCACCTCCACATAAGACCGGGTCCATGCGTTCGTGAGCTGGTTTACATCCACATCTCCCGTTGTGAGTCTCTGCAGGGCCAGCTCTGCCTCTCTGTCATAATCCAGGATGGTCTCGTTCTCGATGAAGGTGGAAAGCGAGGTTTTCAGCTCTGCAGGGGCGGGGGGTGGGTGGAGAGGGGGAGGTGCACACGCAGCAAAAAAAACAGTCACTTAAAAATTTTTTCATTTCTGTGGAAAGCCAAGAGTTACACTGCAAAATCAATGAGCTGGACCCAATCCATCCGTTTAGGTTTCACACTAATAGCATGCATGCTGACAGTATCATCTCTTCCCCCGGAGCACGTGTAGAGAGACATTATTCGAGGGGATTAGGCTCAAATAAACAGAATCTGATGTTTCTTCTATATAATATAATTTTAACAGTCTCCAATTATCAATGTATGGTCAGTTCTTGTGTGTTTTATAGGAGTACAGTGTAACATTGTCAACTGCAAATAAGGATGAACTAACTATTATCACTAAGGATTAATCTGTCGACCATTTTCTTGATTCATTGATTAGTTGTTCCATAAGATGTTGAAAAATTGTGAAAAAGGTTGATCACTGTTGAGCCCAAAGAGATTTTCTATTTTAAAAAATGACTTAATTCGAGTATTCGATCATCACGATAGTTGGTGATTAATAGTTGACAACTAATTGATCAATCGACTAGTTGTTGCAGCTCTTATAGGAATACTGTAAAACTTCCAATAAAAGCAGGGTCCCTAATAGATGCAGGTCTCTTTTAAAAGCCTGGTGTGGCTACACGTTTTGACAAATAAACGCAGGTCTCTAATAGAGGCCTGGTCTGGATTTTATAGAAATTATCTGGATGTATAAAAACCTCTTAAAACCTTGAGCGAGTTTTAAGTCGTTTCAATCTCTTACACAAATATAAATGTTTAAACTTCTGTCAGTATGTACATAATGCACATCATTAGATCAGTTATAGATTCTCCACAATTCGATCGTTCGCTAGATTTTACGAAAACGATCAACAACAAAAGTATAACGTTAATTCATTCTGACTTACTGGTAAACACGGTAAACAAGAGAGACCTCTGAAGTGACCGTAATCATCATGTTAGTTGTCAAATTTGCTCAACAGAAGCAGCAGTTAAGAGTTTAGTTTAGTTTTGTGCCAAAGGAATTAAAGGCCTGTCCCAAATAGAGGCCTGTCCCCAATAAAGGCAGGGGGAGTTCAGTGATTTAAGCAAAACATTTACGGTATATGTTTGGTTTTTAGATTCGTTGATTTCCTTTCAAATACAAGCTGGGGACAGAGTTATACATACGAGCCCTAACAAGTTTCCCCATTCAAGCGTTAGCGTTAAGGCTGTACATTATATGGTTAATGTTAGAGTAATGGTAGTGGTTGCAGTTAGAGATTTAAAAGTGGAGCAGGGAGTTGCATGAGAAAAACAAAGGTTGGGTAACTTTATCCTTAAAATGGATTCTGTTTTACTGAGTGACAATCTCACCATGTTCTATGTAGCAGGGTATTTTATGTAGCAGCATCAGGCGTCCATGAAGGTCACTGATGTTCTCTTGAACAGGAAACTGCAGAGGCACTTTGAGGACACAATTGTGTTTCCCTGCCTTGAACTCAAAGACAAACTCCTTCTCAGCAGTAGTGTTCGCTTTGCCTTTGTTCTTCTTCATGGCTGCAGCTGAAAAATACAACGGCTGCGTCAGTTAAACATGAATGAACTACAAATAGTCTGCTTTGATTATAATGTGCGTCGGGAAAAAAAAAAAAAAAAACTTTCCACATTAAAATCCTTTTAAAAAAAAGGTATCTACTCCTTCTACCTCATTAAAACTTCCAGAATCTATGAATATGGGTTTTGTTTCATTTGTTTTTCTTAAGTTTCAAGTCTCTACATCACACTGCATACGTTGCCTACTGGACCAGGGTTGACTTTCAAACTATTTGTGTCCCACCCCTTAAAAACCTGATTTCCACTGAGCACAGAGAAACTTTCCACTTTCAGCAGATGAATGTGAAAACATATAACTTATATCTTTGCACACTTGCAGTATCATTGTGTCACACTTGCACATTCCCTTAACAATACTGCAAAATAAAAGTCGCGCAAACTATACAGCTCTTCATTTATATAAGTAACAATCATATTGTCTTTATTTTCATAATTATTTATATTTTTCTATGTACAGTGGGTACGGAAAGTATTCAGGCCCCTTTAAATTTTTCACTCTTTGTTTCTTTGCAGCCATTTGCTAAAATCAAAAAAGTTTATTTTATTTCTCATTAATGTACACTCAGCACCCCATCTTGACAGAAAAAAAACAGAAATGTAGAAATTTTTGCAAATTTATTAAAAAAGAAAAACTGAAACATCACATGGTCATAAGTATTCAGACCCTTTGCTCAGTATTGAGTAGAAGCACCCTTTTGAGCTACTACAGCCATGAGTCTTCTTGATGCAACAAGTTTTCCACACCATTCTTCCTTGCAGATCCTCTCCAGTTCTGTCAGGTTGGATGGTGAACGTTGGTGGACAGCCATTTTCAGATCTCTCCAGAGATGCTCAATTGGGTTTAGGTCAGGGCTCTGGCTGGGCCAGTCAAGAATGGTCACAGAGTTGTTCCGAAGCCACTCCTTTGTTATTTTAGCTGTGTGCTTAGGGTTATTGTCTTGTTGGAAGGTGAACCTTCGGCCCAGTCTGAGGTCCTGAGCACTCTGGAAGAGGTTTTCTTCCAGGATATCTCTGTACTTGGCCGCATTCATCTTTCCTTCAATTGCAACCAGTCGTCCTGTCCCTGCAGCTGAAAAACATCCCCATAGCCTGATGCTGCCACCACCATGTTTCACTGTTGGGATTGTATTGGGCAGGTGATGAGCAGTGCCTGGTTCTCTCCACACATACCGCTTTGAATTAACGCCAAAAAGTTCAATCTTGGTCTCATCAGACCAGAGAATCTTATTTCTCATAGTCTGGGAGTCCTTCATGTGTTTTTTGGCAAACTCTATGCGGGCTTTCATATGTCTTGCACTGAGGAGAGGCTTCCGTCGGGCCACTCTGCCATAAAGCCCCGACTGGTGCAGGGCTGCAGTGATAGCTGACTTTGTGGAACTTTCTCCCATCTCCCTACTGCATCTCTGGAGCTCAGCCACAGTGATCTTTGGGTTCTTCTTTACCTCTCTCACCAAGGCTCTTCTCCCACGATTGCTCAGTTTGGCTGGACGGCCAGGTCTAGGAAGAGTTCTGGTCGTCCCAAACTTCTTCCATTTAAGGATTATGGAGGCCACTGTGCTCTTAGGAACCTTGAGTGCTGCAGAAATTCTTTTGTAACCTTGGCCAGATCTGTGCCTTGCCACAATTCTGTCTCTGAGCTCCTTGGGCAGTTCCTTCGACCTCATGATTCTCATTTGCTCTGACGTGCACTGTGAGCTGTAAGATCTTATATAGACAGGTGTGTGCCTTTCCTAATCAAGTCCAATCAGTTTAATTTAACACAGCTGGACTCCAATGAAGGAGCAGAACCATCTCAAGGAGGATCAGAAGAAATGGACAGCAGGTGAGTTAAATATGAGTGTCACAGCAAAGGGTCTGAATACTTATGACCATGTGATATTTCAGTTTTTCTTTTTTAATAAATTTGCAAAAATTTCTACATTTCTGTTTTTTTCTGTCAAGATGGGGTGCTGAGTGTACATTAATGAGAAATAAAATGAACTTTTTTGATTTTAGCAAATGGCTGCAAAGAAACAAAGAGTGAAACATTTTAAAGGGGTCTGAATACTTCCCGTACCCACTGTATATTCTTTTGCACTTGTATGTGAAAACCTACTTGGCAATAAACCTGATTCTGATTAACAGGAACACAAAGAGCCACACAGAGTCTGAGGGTCTAATGGACTATTATACAGTAAAAAAACAAATCAATATATACAATAATAATAATAATAATACTCTAGGAATAATAACCTTCTCGCTGAGGAGAGGGAATAATAAAAATACCCAACCACCACAGAGAAAGCAGCATCCCCCCACACAGCAAGACTTCTTTACTAATAACGTGTTTAATTGTAACTACCAAAAGACAAGTGAGCTCCAGTGGCTACAATCAATATGTTTAATATCTGACCTAAATCCCTGTTACATGTCAGCCACGTTTGTCCTGTTACTGAAGCTGGATGTAGAGTTAGTCAGCTCCCTGTTCGCTCACGTTTCGGTTGGAAGCTGAAACGAATAAAAGAGAGGCACTGTGTTCGCTTTGCTCGGTTTCTAACCTGTAAATGTTGTAATAGAAGACTTACCTGGGGGTATGAATGGTGGCGTTTCCTGTTGCAGAGAGCCTTCTCCTCCTGTTTGGGTCGGTCAGCTGACTGCAGCGGAGGGAGGCGGCCGGACACTAAACAGCACTTTCGCGACAGCTTTTTATTTTTTATTGTGCATCAGAACCGCTAAAGTCTGTGTTTGAAAGATTAATAAATCATCAAAGTGTGTATATATATATTTTTTAGTTGCTATTTTTCCACGTACAAAGCAGATTGTCACGAATCTATTGATCCTAAAGCGCAATTTACGAGGCCGTGTATCGTTGTGCACCAGCGCCCCCTGCTGGCTGGTTTATGAATGACTTACTATAAAGATAAAGATAATAAACATTAGTTTTTATGTAATACTTTCTGTGGAGCTGTGTGAAACCTCATTAATAACAATAAATAATTATCAATATTAAAAAAAAATAATCCTACTTCATATTAAATAAATAATAGTTTGTGGCCTCTTAATGAAGATGTTTTATAGTTTCACTTCATCATCTCAGGAGAGGTTGGAGATTCTTCTTTTTCTTTATTTTATGGCAGATAGGAGATTAATCTTGTATATAGAGAGAACTATATGATCTCAAAGAGATTCACATCCTCCTCTTCTATCATAGAGCCCACTCAAGATAGAAAATATATATATATATATATATATATAAAGCATACTTTTAATTATAAGAAGCTTAACCGTATAAGTATGTTTCTTGATCTAAGTTTACCAAATCAGGATCCTTTTGAGGAAAGTTAAACTTTTTAAAGTGTACTATTATTCATTTATATATTTGTGTCTTTGTCTAACTTGATATTATATATTATATAATAATTCTACAAGCAACAACTGAAAGAGAAAGTAAGTTTACACTCAGGCTGTATACTAGATGTTTGTTTTAGTGACAGCTGACTACTACACCGTCTAACAGAAAATAACTTACTACACCTGTATGACTTTCACTACTTTTATAAATATAGGTGGAGGAAGGAATAAGGAACACTTATTTATTTCATGAGTTTCATTACTGTCTGAAGTCAAGCAAATACTACTGGGCCTTTTGTGGTGAAATTAATATGCGAGAGTGTCCCCACTTCCCCAGGAAGCACTACCACATCATCTGTTTTCATTTCATAGACAATAACAAATAAAATACTGTTGCACATTGAGCAGTTGATATAATTATTATTAATAATAATAATAATAATAATAAATACAGAAAAGTACAATACAACCATAACTTGTGAATCCAGTTCAAACTTTGTATAAAGTGTGTGTGTGTGTGTGTGTGTGTGTGTGTGTGTGTGTAAGACTGTTATATAATGTTACGTCTTACTTGACCGCGTGTGCCCGTGCGCGCGCGTGCGTAAGTGTGCACGTTCATAAACGCGTGCGTGTGTTTTCTTTAAGTTTGAGCGCGTAAGGGACTGCGTACAAACACCACGCTTTACAACATCCGGATTACCCCGTCTTCTTACAACCCTAAAAAAATTTTTTTTAAATATAATAATTAACATAAAATTAATATCCAACTACGATACAATAAAAAAAATATATATTATAAATTATCTATCGATTTTAAAACACTAATTTTTCGTGTGAATTGTATCGAGAATTTGCACACGGTCCCTTCGACGGTTGAACCGTCCCGTCATACCTCGCGTGGCCAACGGCTCTCTCCGCCGAGCGCTCGTCCATTGAATCGCCGATCTCAACCAGCTCGGCTCCGTTTGGCGAAACAATTTGGCGCAAACCGGGTCGGACCTGCTCGTTAGACGCCCGCTATCCGCCCTCACACGTCCCCTGGCCTTGTGTTTTATCTGACTGCGGCGGTTTGGGGGGTGGGTGGAGGAGGAGGGGGGGGCGCGCTTTCCTGGGCTCGCTGGCTGGGTTTGGTCGGGGGAGGCAGAGAGAGAGAGAGAGAGGGGAGAGAGAGAGAGAGAGAGAGAGAGAGAGAGAGAGGAGGAGAGAAGAGAGGAGGAGGGGGGGGAAGCGCTGCTTAGCTTTTGGTCCCGAGCGATGATGGAGCTGGAGTCGGCCAGTAACAGAGGCGAACTGGGAGCTGTGGGGGACTCGCTGCAGCCACAGACTCCCAGCAGACACGAGAAGAGCCTGGGACTGCTCACGACCAAGTTTGTGACTCTGCTGCAGGAGGCCAAGGACGGAGTGCTGGACCTGAAAGCGGTGGGTCTTTGTTGTGAGCTAGCACATGTCGTTAGGTCCCATTCACTTTCGCTAGCATTGCTCCGTTAGCCTAGCCTAGCCTAGCCTAGCCTCGCCGTGTGACAGGCTGATTTGAATGGGTGATACTTCTCCTGAAGGCTTTTTGTTTTTACTGTTCAAACATCCACTTTAATGCTGTTGTTGTTGTTGTTGTTGTTGTGTTAAAGGTTTCAAACTGAACTTTTAAAGGAAGCCTGGTCAACTTTTTCTGACTTTGCCCCCCCCCACCCCCCCTTGCAGATTCAAAGTTAAAAAAAAAAAGAAAGTGGGTCAGCTTTTGTAGCTCCTTTCTGAGGCATCCTCACACATGAGCAGTTTTTGTCTGATTGATAATGTCTTTTGTCACTTAACGACAATATAACCCCCCCCAATATGCAAACAGCATTATATTTGAAGGGCTGTAGTTCTGCAGAGATGAGCTGACCCACCAATCTTGTCCTCCAGGTGTAAACCAACTCATGATTTTATAGTTTTTATCAGTAAAAATGTAAACTGTGATGTTAAAATGATAATCCCCACACCGATATCTTTCAAAATAAAAGCAGAATAGCTGCATTCTTCACCCCATGAGCCGCATAGATGTCATACTAACACACAACTGTGATCTGACTAATAGTTTCAGAGTCACTAAAGCGAATAAGTTGTTGTTGTTGTTTCTCTTCTACTAAGATAATTAATCTTTGCACATGTTTAAAGCCAGTGCTACTAACGCTTAATAAGCCCTAAAGCTGTAAAAATGTGGTTTGACCTGAAGCCCGGACTTAAACTGGAATATAAATAGAAACATTTCAACCAACACTGCCATCCATATCTTTCTTTTCTCAGCCTTATCCAGTGAACCGGATGGCAGCTTGATCAGCCAAGCATTACTTCGTATAATAGAGCAGTTTCTTTTTCACAGCGACCTCCGAGACTTGACGGACAGAGTGGCTTTCATAGCTTTATAACCCGCTGACGCTCACGTTTCACTTTTGCTTTGCTCCACACTGATCTTAAAATACGAGCAGTGTGTCATTCTCAGACAGAAGAAGAATTGATGTGATTAATCTGTTATAACACGTCCTTTAAACTCTATAATGAGCAGCACTAAAGACCAAAAACTCTGCTCTGACTGGAGTCTATATGTTGACGCTGTTGGAAAAGAAGCTCCGGCAGCCACACTGAACTGCAAATACATTTGTTTTGCATGTGTAAATAATGAAATTGTCTCGTATGATCATTCAGAAGGTCTGTGACTCCATTGCACCCACAGGGCCTGCTCAACTCAACTTATCAGCACCGGCCATATGGTTATCATTAGTTTGTTTAAACACCATAAGTTTGGGCCTGCGAGGGAAGTTTTTATAATGTGTGGTGAAACCTCATGGTTTATGGTTGCAGCGCATTGAACCCGTTGGCACCGATACTGTGGTCTCTCTTTGACTAAAGGAACTGCCAGTAATCTCTGTTTGTATTCTTCATTACTTTCTGTGCTGTCATTCAGGCGGCAGACACCTTGGCAGTGCGGCAGAAACGACGTATCTACGATATCACTAATGTGTTGGAGGGAATCGGACTGATAGAGAAGAAGTCCAAGAACAGCATCCAGTGGAAGTAAGTCTACAGTTTGTGTGTGTGTGTTGCATTTGTCACTTTCCTGTGCTTATTTCCCAATAAAGCTAGTAGCTGTCACAATATAATCATGTCAGAACGGCATTATAATTACAACAAAATGGCTTATTACAACAGGTGTGTCGTTACAACCTCCAGGAGAACTGTAGATATGAGGCTGTTTATTTACATTGCAGACATATTTCTTTGCTGTTTTGGGTCTGCAGTCAAGCACATTGTATTTGAAACAGTTCCTGAGGCTTTAAGCTGTAGTAAAACTGTAGTAATTTTAATCATAGTCCCCCAAATAGGCCTTTTTCCCCCCATGATACTAATAACATTATTGATGGCTCTGTTCTATTCAAGCCAGCATGAAAGATACTGTAACCCTTAAACTGAAGCAGCTAAATGCAATATAATGTTTTCATTATGTTTCATTTATTAATGAAGTGGTTCAGTATGATGAATGGCATTGAACAGTTTACTAAATAGTGGCCAATCGATATGGGGTTTTCAGTGGTCTGTGCCGATATCAAAGCAAAGACAAGTCGTGTAATTTTATTTTATTCTGCAGGAAAATAATTCATTGATTGATTATTTGGCCAATTTCAGGCTGTTTGGGGAAACACAACATCTATCGTAAAAATGGTTCTTGTCAGTGCAGCTGCAGTCCGGATACATTTGTTTTATCCAAGCTCTAATACAAGGCAGACGGATCATCAGCTGAGAGAAAGTGAATGAGAATAAATAAGCGTAGTTGTATCAATAATAAAGCAGCGTGTTCATAAGTGTGTGGTCTCTTCGCCTGCCGCCTGTACATGACCGTGTGTTTGTGTTTGTGTTTTCAGGGGTGTAGGTCCAGGCTGTAACACCAGAGAGATAGCCGATAAGCTGATTGATCTAAAGGCCGAGCTAGATGACCTGGCTCTCAGGGAACACGAGCTGGACCAACAAAGAGTCTGGGTCCAACAGAGCATCAAGAATGTCACAGACGACTCTAACAACAGCCCATATCCTTCACTGCGCCGTGTGTCCAACGAGCCTGCAGATGCAATCAGAATAGCTTAAAATTTAAGTGTTCTCCTGTTGGTTTGTGGAAGACTTTGGTGCTATGGTGCACGTATTTGGTGGGGGGGTTAAACCGTCACTTTTCGCTCATTTCGCGCTGTTCGTTAAAGGAGTTACTCTTCTCTTATAACAGTAGATTTCATGTCCTTTTTAAAGAATGAGGAGAGGGAGCTAGCCAGGTGTTGCGTGTTTTTGTGCTCGCACAGTGGGTGAGTGAAAATCATTAGTAGCCGACTGATACAAATGATTGTATGAACTTTTTTTTTACGAAGCGACACTCCTCATTTAGCAGGCTGGTGCGTCGCTGCAGGATGAAAATAAGGGGGAACTGCTGTCAGTGCTGATTTAATATGACAGTTTAATCAGCCGTGAATTTATTCTGTTGAATTTTAAATCACTAGCAATGACTCTTCCTTAAAAAGATTTATCCGTCGTTGGTGCTTCTTCCAGCCCGGCCAAGATAACCCTTGTGGCATCTCTTAGGGTCATTTTCTCACACATTATAAAACCTCTGTAGAGCCTCAGAACACATTCATGAGCAGGACTAATCATGACCTGATTTGAGGTGTTTTCCCTTAATGTCCAGTGATACATTCTGTCTATATGTTCTGTTATTTCAGCAGAGCTGTGGCAGCTGTACTAAAGGCCAGTCTGACAATTATAGTACTGTAAACTTTCAACTGTTAATGGAAAATATTTTGTGAATTTGCAGTCTCATAAGTGTTCAGTGCTCAGAGCAGTGCCAGTCCGTAGGTGCTAACGTAGACTACAGCCAGGGGTTTTTCCCTGTGTAGGACAGACTGCCAGTTTTATCATTAGAATAAAGTGCTCTTGAAGAAGAAAACATGCCATAATGAGTTATTTCGCTACACTTGTTGTGTTGTATTGTTTATATGCTTTGTGAAAACCCACTCATGATCAGTATTTGGGTACGTATGTGCATGTGGCACAGAGAGTTAACAGTAGACACAATGACACAACAGTGAAACATATCCAATCTCAACACCATCTGGCATCTCATAGGGGATAATCCTGGGCATGCATCCCTACACAGATTCTGCCAGATCTGTCAGCCACGCAGCTCATACTGAGGGCTGTTTGGCCCGGTCACTGAAAGGGCGGCCACCGATTTTTATACATAAAGGTCATGGTGTTTGAGTTGTATAATTTCCTTCTGTGGCTCTGGAAGGAGCTTTTCTTAAAGCCTGAGAAAATAAGGCTGGGAGGGTCTAATGAAACATGCTGTTTAGTCGTATTATTGGAAGTTTGAGTTTTTGCAGCTTGACTCATACTAGTGACTAAACGTCTCAGCCTCTGCTCGCTCTTTTTTGAGTCCTCTTTTATTGACATTTCTGGAGTATCCTGTTCATAAATCTAAGTCTTCCATAAACTGGATGGAGATTAGATGGATTTTAATAACCATGTTTTTTCATTGAAGTTGCAAACATGACCCTTAACTCATTCGCACTATGGCCTATATAAAACACGAAGACCTCTGTGGAGCTTTTAAAGGTAATTGTTTCAGATGCCTAATCTTTTATAGATTGTTTTTTCTTTTTCTGTGACACATTGACAAACACCTGCCTGTTCCTTCCTCCTCAGGTGACACACTCCTAGCAATCCGCGCTCCCATTGGCACACAGTTAGAAGTCCCCATACCAGAATCTGTAAGTTATGTGCGTGGGTTTGTGTGCGCTCCTTTCGTCCAGCTACCGTTTTGTGTCACGTCTCACGTCGAGTGTATGTGTTCTTATCCAGATCCTGAATGGACAGAGGAAATACCAGATCCGTCTCAAGAGTTCATCTGGTCCCATCGAGGTTTTGCTGGTCAACAAGGACCCGTCCAGTGCCTCTCCCGTTGTTTTGCCCGTCCCTCCTCCAGATGATGTCCTTCAAAGCCTCCCAGCACCGATACCTACCTCTCAGCCGCCCACTGCTGCCTCCCAGGTCCGCACAGATATCAGCTTCCTTTATGCAATTAGTCTGTTTACTGCACCTCTCTTTATTAGAACAGTACAGACGATATTCATATGACCCTTTCTTAAAATAGAGTTCATGAATGCTTAATCACCATGGGAAAATAATTCAAAACTCTATGACTTCTGCTTTTTTTTATTTTATCATGCAATGTTTTGACTTTCCTCTTTTTCTTTCTTTCATCTTTTCATCCTCCAGGTCCCCAAAGCAGCTCTAACAACTTCTACAAAACCTGTTCCTGTCACAACGTCAGCTACAGCGGCTAACCAGACAGCCTCAGTGACAGGTAGGGAGGGGGGGGGAGGGTGCACTGTGAACTCAAATAGGGGCAATTTTTTTTTTTGGTCTACAAGATTCTGGACTTCCCTTTTTTATTGTCTCTTTTCACACTCGACCATTTGTGGTTACCATTATTTTACCTCATGCTCGTTTTATTTCAGAAGTGACGAGCACCACCCCGCTCACCCCGACAACAGATACACCTGCTACAGTTACTCAGCAACTACAGTCTTCTGCCTCGTTGGATGGATCTGCGTCCTCTTCTGCCTCTGCAGTGTTTGAACCAATTAAGTCGGATCCCTCCGAATGTGAGTTTTGCATGTTGCGTGTCTTTTGAACCTCTCTCTCTCCTCTCTCTCTCTCTCTCCTCTCTGTGTCTGTGTCTGTCTCTCTCCCTCTGTGGCTCTCCCTCTTTCTCCCTCTTCCTCTGTGTGTGTGTGTGTCTCTCTCTCTCTCTTCTCTCTCCCCCTCCCTCTGGAATACAGCTTTGGAAAGATGAAGATGTTGAGGCAGGGATAATGTTTTACTTTTACCTTTTATAGTCTCTTGACTTATTTCCACTAGATGACTCGACTCGACTCAACTTTGATACGTCTGCTTCGCTTGTCACTGTTTGGATACCAAACAACCAGGAAACAACAGGGAGCTTTAATGTGGTCCTGGGAAGCTGCAGCCTTTACTCACTGACAAACCGTAACATACACTGTACATTTATTCCTCATCCACACACTAACTAGCACACAAAAAGAAGCTGCCACTCTTCTAACAGAGGGTGTTACAGGTTGCCATTGAAGCTTGACTATTTAGACTATTTAGAAATGTGGTGTTTGGGCAGGATGTGCCATGTCACACCACCAATCAGCGGTCCGCAGTGTTTTCACGTCATCTTTTATGACATTAGCACTTTTGGCTGCACCGAGTCAAACCATGCGGTGCTGATTTGGATTTCCTTTTCCAGTTTAAACACGCCGAGTTGTGCCAAGCCGCGCCTTCTCTGGAGTAGGGCCACTGCGCGCCTGACTGATTTGCTGCTTCATAATAACCCTTTTAAATAACAAAATAACTGGGGTCTTTCATTGTGAAGACTGTACAGGAAATACAATGCAATCACCGGAGTAGAGCCTAGTTAGCGTCTTTTCTTCAATAATAACGAGTCTGCGTACTGCAGGGAGGAAGGTGGCTGTGTTTATTTGTGCCTTAGAATGAAACCGTCCTGAAACAATTAGAAAGTAAGCTTTCATTTATTTGATTCACTGTTTTGTTTTGTTTCCGCTCTCCCTGCCTCACACGGCACACGTTTAAGCGAGTAGCCCCTGTTGTAATGGAAATGCAAATCCCTGCCAAGCCAAGCCAGCCCATGTGTATGTGTATGGAAAAAACGCTCTTAGTATCTTCCTCAGCTCGCTTTAAACCTCGACTGAGGTGGTAACAAAACAAGTACCAGGTACTATCCATAATGAAAAACCAAGAAAGAGCAAGTGGAGCCCAGGTGGCATTTGTCACTGATCTCACACACAGTAATTCATTGAATGTTGTATTGGATTGTTTCACCTTCTACAGATGATGTTAATCCTGCAGACCAGGTTTTATTTAAATGAGACATAGTATACAACGGATACACTTAACATAGCGAGCTGGAGCTGAAATGTTTGCTGTGCTTTCCTTCTAGTGCTGGACTTTCCCAAAGAGCTCTCTGACATGTTTGATCCAACAAAAGGTAAACTCCTCTTGACTATTACACGAATAACATATATTTCTAGGGTCGTTATTTGTATGCCATATTCTCAGTGTCCAGCAGTCTGAAAGCTTGTCTCACTTCTTTTCTCTCCCTCTTCCAGAGATCATGAGTGGAGACCTGTTGGAGGACTTGATGTCCTCAGAAGGTGGGTTTGTTTACATGTGTGTAACAAAGAGGCTCTTGGGTCGTGGCCCCCCCTCTCATCTTTTTAATCTTTCTCTCTCTGTTTCACTCTCCAGTGTTCTCGCCTCTCCTCCGTCTGTCCCCTCCACCCAGCGACCACGACTACATATACAACCTGGACGAGACAGAAGGCCTGTGTGACCTTTTCGACGTCCCCATTCTCAACCTCTGACCCCAGAGATTGTTGTCAGAGTGTGAGGCAGTTTGCCAAAACGTGCTCATCTAAACTTCATTTTCTCCACGTTTCCCCCTCCTCCTCCTCCTCCTCCTCCTCCTCTCCGATGGTGAAGGCGAGAAAGAGGTGTGGGAAAAGCCGATATGTTCTGATGAGCGTTCAAGGGACACCTCTGCACTGACACGGCGAGCTCGAGCTGAGCTCAGCACCACAGTAGCTACATGTACAGCCTCATGAAGAAAATACAGGCGAGAACAAAACATTTTACTTACTGCTTTTCCAAGGAAACATAGTCAAAAACAAATGACAAATAATTCTATTTTTGGATTATGTATGATAAAGCTATTATGTTTGTGTATCAGCTTTCCCAGTGTGCTTGTGAGCGAACGTGTGGGCATACTTTATGTGTGTGTGTGTGTGTGTGTGTTTTGTATTGTATGCTCTCTTAACTTGAGTCAGACATCTCCAGGAAAAAACTAAACAAAAAAGAAAGAAGAGAATCTTTTGCTATCAGGTAAAAAGTCATGGCAGACTAACGGAGCACAGCCTTTATCACCCGGGCAGCTGCTCACGCATGGCTTTGAGTCCAAACACAGCTGGTTGAAATAAGCACTGTCCTCATGTACATAGAGAATATATATTTTGTATTACCAGCACACAAAACTTAATGTTTAACAATGAACTACATTTGTAACCCAGGCAGAGCAATAGTTTGCAAATAAAACAAAGGTACCAGACTCACATGATCGATACTGTATGTATGAAGTGGGGGGGGTGTACCAGGTAGAGAAAAAGGATCTTAATGTTGAGTGGAAACAGTGCAGTACGTTTTAAAGCTCTACCATTTCTAACACTTTTGAAAGGGCAACAAGGTGAAAGTTAAAATATAATAAAGTGTCTAATCTAAGCTCCAAATTACGACTATCTTGTTCTCTAACTGGTTCAGTAACCCCCCCCCAACACTGAAATGTTTGATTATTAATTATGGGCTTGCTTTCTGTTTAAATTTTTGCCTCTGGACCTTTTTTGGACTTTGCAGATTTTTATTGGCTCTGATTTGTAACTTAAATGGATTCATGTCAAGAGGATTAGCTTTTTTTTTTTCTCTCCCCCACCACCCACCTCTCCAAAATGAGTTCTCTGGCGATTGTCTTACAATTTATAATGTATGTATATGAATACCATTGTACTGAGTTCATTTGTATGTAAAAGGACATTATGTATTTCTGATGAATTTCTACTGATGCAGTGAATATAGTCGCCATGCCATGAAAAAAAATGCTCCTGTTTTTTTGCTGGTTTTTTGTATATTTTGGCACAGATCCCTATTCTGTTTTATTTTGGTTTTGTTCTGTTTCCAGTAAATTAAATACTGCCTATCACTCTAAATTAAATTTTTCAACTCTAATGCAAATGGGGGGGGGTTCAGGATGAGTCCGACTTAAAAGTAAAGTATTGACATTCATGTTTCTACAGTTTATTTTTTATGTAACAATGTCCTGCTTTGCTCTGGATGTATGTATGTACAGTATCACTGTGTGTATCGCTCTCTACCGCTTGTATAGAATAGCATTTATTTTTTTATACTTTATATATTGTTACTGCTACTAATTTTTTTTTTTTTGGGGGGGTTTAAACGTCATAGTTTCAGGAGTTTAGCCACAAAAGGCATCCTGTCTCATTGTTGCACTTTACTTCACTGTGGACAGATTGGTCGTGACTCATCCAAGCCCCCTTGATCAGTAGCCAGTCATTGTGTTTGGACAGTGTTGTGAGTTTTTGCCTAAATCCTTCAGTTCGAGCCGCCAGGGAGTTCAGCAGTACCGGGTTGAAAGAGTCACGTCTGTGTGTGTGTGTCTGTGTCTGTGTGTGTGAGACTCACTGCTTACAGACTTGTTTTTTTTTAAAATGTGCTCACCATTGCTAAGCTGTAGTTGCATCAAATGAAACAAAAAAAAAAAAAAAAAACACTTTGGTATTCTCTGTTTATTGTCTGGTTTCCAGTTCAATTAACTGTCACATTGTTGGTGTGTGTGGTTGGGAGGATGGAGGAAATGGCTTTAAATGGAAGTCATGCTTTTTAGAAAAATAAGATGGAAGTAGTTGGCAAATTAATGAGCTGCTTACGTGTGTTTTTAAGAAAAAAATATGTTTAACAAAGACTGAGTTTGAACATAAAGGTGCTTTAATTAAACCTATTTGTCTCTATGAACAGTACAACAGGCTGCTGTAAGCTTGTACATTCAACAGAATAATGATGTGAACTGTAGTTGTAACTGAGGTCATACACCCTTTCTTTTTCTGTTTCTTTGTGGAGATCTGATAACGTCCACAGATCTAGAAAAGAACCGTTAAATATGGAGGTAATGAGATTACTGTTGTATTATCCCTTCAGCTCCGTTGGTCAACGTACAGCCGAGTCATCCGTATGGTGCCTCATCAGGTGTCGGTGCAAGATGAATGGCTTACTTACATGCACAACAGACAATTCACACACACACACACACACACACATATATATGCATATTGCTGTTATAGGTTAGAAAAACTACAGCTTTATAATGTGCTGACTCCCAACTTGTTGCATTCCCTATCTCTTCCTCCACTCATTTCCTGTCAGCTCCATCACTCCTCTATGATAAAGGCATTAGTTTACTACTTTTTATTACTTAATACTATAATAAAAGTATACTTATATGTCTGCACAGAAGAGATGGAGTAAGAGCAGCTGTGTACTGTGTGGTTAAATATGCCTGTAATGGTTTAACAACAGTGGAAGCAGTGAGAGTTAAACTGGGTAATAAATCTGTTGGGGAACCGGGGAGGAACAGCAGGGGGCGGCTGTCACCAGCTGTACCCGACCCGGAACTTTGAATTAGTTCATCCACTACTTCTTGGAAATGTTAAAGAAAAGCTGGTGCAGCTCAACGTTAGGCAGCGACGGCATTGAGTTTACCTTCAAAGTAAGAGCACTGGATCGCTCAACGAATGCAGTTATTTTGTTGGTGGGCGTTAAAAAGTAGCACACTTAAAGAATATGGAACTAAATAAATAGGAAAAGTTTTATTGTCGGATATTATAGTCACGCTGGTGCGTCTGTGAAAAGTTGAATTACAGCACGTGTTTTATTTTGAAATTAATAACCGGAACTCATTGTCGTAGCTGTTGAAATCTGTTCCAGCTTGACTCAAACCCCCCGACTGAGCGACTCCAACCAACCCGGAACTTTTAAGCCAACTAATCATTCCTGAAAACTTATTGCACGGGGTTTTTTTCTGCTGTGTTTTCCGAGGCAGTGCAGATGTTTCTGTGAGGGGGGGAAAGTAGTTTCTGCGGACTGATTAAGCTTCTTCTGAGGGGGGTGGGGGGTTAAACAAATTAAAAAAAAAAAAGAGAAAGAAAAGGAAAGTTGCAAATGTTTCTGGCTCCGACTGCGGCGGTTCCTGCAGGACTGTAGCTCGACTTGTCTTCTCAACCCAGGTAGGACGCAGTGAGGAGGAGGGGGAGAGGGAGGCTCTCACTCCTCTACCTTTTCTCAATATCAGATTTTATAATAACTTCTAAAGATACCAGTTCAGGTGCTGTTTGTTTTTACCTTTATTATAGCTGCAGTAGAGGTTAGTGGTTCATTTATACAGCAGCACATGACTTTTTCTGAACCAGCTTACATTGTTCAGCTGAATTTAAGTCACTCCAATATGTCTAAAACACACAATGAATCATCCAGATCGCAGAAGATGTAGTTTTCTTTTAAAGGTAAAATGTGTCAAAGCAGCGTTGTAATGAAGTGCTGCAGAGATTCACTGGCCTAGAAATACTGCTCTCCAGATGTAAGAAAACATGTTTGTTTGGTTCAAGACCCCAACAAATGTCACAACATCACAGTTTTTCTCAAAGAGAATTACAAGTGTGGAAATCACATCACAATATCTGTCAAAATAAATAACGTACAGCCCTAAAATATAACTATTATTGTAATAAATAGGTTTCATACCAGTGTTAAATCATGGATGAATAGTTTTTTATTTATTTATTTAAGTTAGAAACCTAAAATGAGCTTGTTTAATTACTCCAGTCTTTCTTTTTATACCTTTTTTTTATTAGAGAAATTCTTCTTCTGAGTGTGTGTGTGTGTGTGTGTGGTACACTGTCAGGTTAGGAATTTGAGGCAGCTGAGCGCTTCCCCCTTCTCTCTCTCTCTCTCTCACACACACACACACACACACACACACACACACACACACACACACACACACTTCTGCAAAGGGGAGGGGTGTCTGTCAGTCCAGGGGGTCTGAGGCTCACTGGTGAGTCTGCAGGCTAACAAAAGGTCTGGGTGTGCTGCTGGTTTGAAGCCTAATGAAGCAAAGTCCTCATGGAAGAATACAGGCACTGACAGCTGCTCAACATGGTGGAACATTTTCATCTTTACACCGCTGTAAAGTCGGTCAAATCAACCGCCTTCTTCTCTCTGTAGTGTTTGTGTCTCTGAAACAGAGGGAAACTGTGTAATTTAGTTTTAATTTGACAGCTTTACATTAATGCATAGGTGTATTTTCCAAGTATAGTTCTGTAACCATCATAACTTCCCATTACTGTAGTTATCTACTGTATATATCAGTTATCTGTTTGAGTTTCCATAGGAATAATAATCTCACAATGATTGTTTTAATTATTTATTTAACTGACAACTGTGTCATTCATATGTGATTCACTGATTTATAAAATATTTGGTCTATAAGACGTCTAAATCTTTTTTGATACCTTTTTAAATATATTGCTCTGTCCAAACTAAAGCCACATCTATTCTCATCACCATAGAAAACTGAGAATGCCAGAACATTTAGAAGAATTTAAATGGTTTCAGATAAATGTATTTGAATTCTATAGATATATCATAAGATAGATGATGAACTAATCGTTTCAGCTCCCCAACCCGGTTGTCACATTAAGTGTAATAGGTAACTTTCATTAAAATGTATTTGTTCTACTCACTCAACTTTAGTATAGTAGTTATAAACAATATCTAACACAATATATAGAATAGAAATGAATGTAAAGGTATATGCATATAGTAAAAAAAAAAAATGGAAAACAGAAATATAATAGGAGTCTAAGAGATATAATAAATTAATAAGAGCCTATATACAAGGTAAATGTAACTCTAAACATAAGCGTAAACATATTCCACATTATTGCTGACAGAAATTAAATAAATAGTCATGAGTTTTAAGATTGTGGTGTTGCAGAAGTTATAGATAAATACAAAGAATGACATAATAATCAAGTGAATTTGCACGTTGACCCGGGTATTGCACCTTAATGGACTTATTTTTACCAGTTTAATGAGAGTTTTGACACTCTGAGGGAGGAGTTAAAGAGTCTGAACATCGTATAAGAGCACAACTCACAACCACTCCCTTCAGATTACGTAATAGTACTTTAAAATCCCCAAGGGGGAAGCAGACTGGACAGTCAGTTCCTGCTGTAGCTTGTTCCAGGTAGAGTGGGGCCGAGTATTGTGTACAGACTGAGGGGATGGAGAATGTGATGAAGTGCTGGAAACGTATAGCCTGTGGCTGCACTCTTCCCCCTGTCACATGTAAGTGGATAAAGAAGTGAGCGACAGTCCGAGGAGGGATGGTGATGGCGGGTTATGAATCTCAGAGCTTCGTGGTAGACGGCGTCCAACAGATGAAGAGAGGCGCCCAGAAGAGGCAGCGGCAGCTCGCCGTCCTGTAGCATTAAAGGAGCAGTGTGTAGGATTTAGAGGCCTCTAGCGGTGAAGTTGCAGATTTCAACTAACTGAACACTGCTCGCGTCTGTATTTGACGACCTGGGAATGAGAAGGGGCTGTGAAGTGTGTAAAAGACCCTAACTAGAGCCATTGTTTGTCCTGTAGAAAGGTGGCAGCCACAACAGCTCATTCTAAGGTCACAAAAACACAATGATTCCTATATTCAGGTGATTCTACACTAATGAGAACACACCTATTAATATTATGTTCATTATCTGCCAATAGAGCCTCCTAAATGTTACACACTGGACCTTTTCTTTTCAGTTCATTGAGAAGAGCATAGTGACACCTTTACTTTCGTTTTAAAGGCAGACGGACGCATAAAGAAGATGATGTTTCAGCTTCCACTTATTTCTTACACTCACTGCAGTGGTTAACCTCTGTGGGGACTGAGATGTAAACCCGCCCTCTTCTGCTGAGTTCAGAAAGGGAAACATCAGACAGCTCTCAACTTTTTTACCAATCAGCATCTTTTTTTTTTTTTTTTGTCTGTTGAGACTCTGAGGTGTGCAACCAAGGTTAGTTTGACGGTTATTTGAAGGAGTAAAACACACGGAAGGAAATGTTACTACTGTGTGAATAAAAACCTTTTGAGTGCTCCAACTTGTTTCTACTGACCTCTAAAGTTATCACAGAACATCTAATTTGTCTTCTTCTCATTTGTACTTTCATGTAGAGTTTGTAATTCAGAAAGCAGGTTGCAACACTTTCTGAGCTCGTCTTTGTTATGCAGGCGAGGAAACGAGCTTTGTCTTGTCGTAACGAAGCGAGAATGTCAGTGCATCCTGAGCTCTTTCCAGTGCTGCGTGAGGCCTGAAGCGTGTACGGACAGGTCATGATGAATGCAGACTAATAGTGCTTAGTCATCAGCGCGTGTTTACCCAAAGAGCTGGAAGTCTTCTGGACTTAACTGAATGCTTTAAAGCTCTGCTCTGACTGATTGGTAAAAAGACTGAGATTTAAAATAATAATAATTTAAAAGAGATCAGTCAAGCGTAATTATAAACCACATTTTAACCTCTGGAAAAGCGTTTGATCACTGGCAGCCACCTCCGAGACACCGAGAATGAATGTTTCTCATTAAACTGTGCAACTGAAGAAAGTATTTTAAAGGTTTTAAAGTGTTCACCATCTCAGTTTAATGTGTTAGTGTGACGATATTTGTAGTATTTTTGCTATAAACCAAAGCACAATCTCAAAAGTAACGCCTTTATCTAACTTAAAAAAAAAGTGAGGTAAGTGGTTGCATTGGACTTTTTTAACTTCAGGGTTTAATTAAGTAGAATGAACACTGTAACATCACTTAACTCTAACCCAACAAGCTAATACTACTGATATTACTTTGTTTGATTAACGTGATGTTGGACTTTACCTGTAGTTATAATCTTCTTTTATATCAACCTATAAATAAGTTGATTAATTGTTAAATTAGGCTGCATTTCTCATTTCTCATTTTCTACATGTCAGACTCTACGTTTTGATTTACTTTACATAGATAGACTTTTCTAACATAACTTAACATTACACACATTGAAATTGCAATCTCTGACTGAATTGCATACATTTTTAGGATAAAACCAATAAAATAAACTAGATCATTCTTATTTAAAGTATATTAAAGCTACACAATGTCAACGTCATGTCAGTGCCACAGGAAAAGTGATTTTAAGATTCATTATCCGAGAACCATTAATGTGTGCACAAACCTCTGTGCCAGTACATTTAGTAAGGAGCAAAGTGGTGGACCGACCAGTAGCATTAGCACACATTTTCAATGTATGTTATCTTTTCGACAACTAGTTATAACAACTGTAAGATTGAGATTGTTGGGCTCTTGCAGATCAGCCGTCATTCCCAGTGGACAGCCGAATACAGCATCCCATGATACAGTGTACCTTTATTTCACTATTAATACCCAGCTGTGATGAATTATTTTCTACAAAAACAAAGCTATCTCTCCTTTCATCCTTTTGTAGTCCAACCAAAGCAATAATTAGGGTTTCAGCTGATGAACATGTGGACTCAGTTTCACATTCATCACCATGCAGCTCAGACAGATACTCAGCTTTAAAACCCACAGGCAGTCTTTGTTGTTGCAAAGACATGACATACCATTACCCGGAGTTTGCCCTTGAATTTGCTGACTCATAAGCTGCCCCAGAGCAAACCTGCATTCCCCCAAATCTCTTTAGGATTAAGGCTGCTTGTTGTTATTTGTTGGAGGGAGGTTGACCTTTGGCACCAGCACTGGTGTAATGGTTTCAGCACCCCGGGCTTTCCTTGCTGTCTAGCCCAGTGTTTTGGGGTTTTTTTTAAAGCGGAGGCTGGGGCCCCGCCAGGGGGTGCCAAGGGGGCCTCAGCAGGTTTGGAGGGACGATGAGGGAAAATGCAAAATATGGGAGTGTTCACCTGCAGCCGCCATGTATTTACGCCTCGATACAGCTACTGACACGAGTGATGTAGGACGACAAACAAGCTGAATTTTCACATATTTTGAGCCTATTTATCACTATATATATTTCATCCCTATTAAAATCAATAATTATTATGTGTATTTTATATATATAAGTTAAAATAACATATAACATCTTAATAAAATCTTATTCACCCTGCCCGTCGCCTGCGAATATCACATAAACTGTCAGTGTGTGACTTTGTAACAGTCAGTGCCAAAAGCTACTCGTGAAATTTAGCTAGGTAGTGCTAAGTTCCAGACACAGACAGACAGACAGACAGACAGACAGACAGACAGACAGACAATACTGTTGAATGTAGAACAAAGCAGTAAAAAGCTTTGCTCCACAGCTATCACTCTTATCTTTATCCTTTACCATTCATAATGTTTGTCTGAGTTGTTTGTCCTTTTTTTATATTTTTATAAATCCTCGCCATCTGCTGCAAACCAAATCTACCTGCAGGTACAAATAAAGTAAACCTTGAACCTGAAACAAAACTGACAAACAGTGCTTATAATAGCAAACAGAAATAAACAATCTAATGGAATAATTCGAGATTTGAAATACAAATGCGTTGCAGTAATTAAAGTTGGGTTTGTCGTGGAGAACCTTTGGTCATGTAAATGGTCCAAAATCCAACCTGGTGTGATTTGTATATTCACGTTTAAATGAGCAGGACTCCAAGCTGAGTCAATCCTGCTGTAGAAAGATAGACCTCGCCTTTTTCATTCTTTGCTTTGAAGGTGCTATTTATCAGGAAAGACAGTGCCTTGGGGCGGGTGAGGTGAGACGGTGAAGGCGTGTGGTTGTTTTGACAGGAGTATTGCTTTGGAACCTGCCATAAAACTGTGAGAGGTTTCTTTTTTAGACGGGAGTGATGGTATGTGAACTATCCAAGAGAGCAGGCAGAGGGGTGGGGGGGGTTATTAATCACACAAGCAGACACAAGCTCGCCCCCCTTTTTTTCTTTCATCGTGAGCTCATGAATGTACAGAAGTACTTAGATCCAACTGTATTGTTTCCATGTGCCGAGATGGCGAGGCAGAGACGGAGAAGGACACGGATAGGGGGAAGGGTCGGAAGCACAACAACTGCTTCTTCTGTATCCTCTGGGAATGCCGTCTGAAGGCTGAGGAGGAAGTGTGTGTGATATGTGTGTGAGTTGGAAAGGGGAGAAGACAGAGTGAACCATCCGTAAAGCGTGTGCAGACAGTGTTTAATCCTCTCAGCGTTACTCGGTGCACCATAAATACACAGTAAAAGAGGAACACACACTGCAGATTCATACTGAAAATGATGATTACGTTGACCACCGTTGAGTCATTCTGGCCTCGTCAGTTCACCTTACAGAGAAACAGCTCTTAGGACTTTCGCTTTATCACAAATCACTGAATTATTATTCAGTTGACACAGCAGCACAGCACCATGTGGATTAGGGTGTGTTACAACTGAAACCTTTGAACTTTAGCCTTCCTTGTCGAGAGATTTATGATCAACTTATCACCAGTTTTAAAGCAGCCACAACATTTCCGGGTGAAATTCAATCTCAGGATTTGAAGTCCGGTCAGATACAAGCTCAAATTCATGTTGGTCGTAGTTTAACTGAAGATTTCACGTAGTTATTTGTGTTGAAACGCGTCTTTCTGGTACACGATGAAGGCACCGTCAGATACTTCCTGGTAATAAAGGTCATGGCATTTGGATACATGTACTATATGATGAGACGGTTTATTTTTAGCTCTTTCCTGTCTTTTTATTATCAACAGCTACAGAGTGGTGGAGTCAAGAGGTGCCAACATGCCGCAGCAGAAGGACATAGTGAAGATAGCCATCCAGATGCCTGGGGCCTACCCCCAGCTCATACAACTGGATCAGGTAATACACACACACTGTATAATATATAATAATAATCCCTTTATTCTGTGCACATTATAATCTAATATACGTGGACCTTTTTATTCATTAATGAAACAGAAGAATACTTTGTTCATGCTGTAGAACGTGTCTGGTACTTAAAGTGGTACAGTATGTCAGAAGCAACGTCATTATTACTACTGCATTATTAAAACATGGTGTATATATATATATATATTTAAATGCCAGATAATAGGCCCAATTTATTTATTTTTTGGGCGACTTTGGCTCTAGATGGGAGGCCGCCTGCCTCGACTGCATATCGGTGCAGTAAACCCTGACAGGGTGCAGTGCAGTAGTAGTCAGTGTACCAATCAATAAACTATCAGTGGAGTTCAATAATAATAAAGTAATGTAATATATAGAGAGGTAGATCACTTAATGCCCTGTGTTTGGTTGTGTGGTTGCAGGCAGTTTGACAACGACTCTGCGATAGAAACTGTATCTCAGTCTGTAACCAAATTTAAGTTAGTAGAATTGGTTTTGAGGACCTTTTTTAACAATTCTTTAGTTTCTGATTGGAATAACAAGAGAGAGTCTGTGAGGATCAACACAAGTGTTTAATCTCAAATGACATTACTGTTGTTAAAGTGGAAGATGAAGAAGATTAGATTGGTGCTATAAAACGTTGACACAGAAGTTGAATATCCCCACTTCCTTGTCAGTGTAGTCGACAAAGTGGTCGACCTATTTAAAATACCTACCACCACAATAAAGGTTTCTGATGTCATTGACTGGTAGTCTTCCTGTTTGTTTTTACCCTCCCACCTATGGAGCCCCAGAGTGTTCAATATTAAATAAGTTTTGACAAATAAAGGCAGGTCTCAATTAAAAGCCTGGTCTGGATATATTAGAAATTCTCTGGGTGTATAAAATCTCTTACATCCAACCGGGTCGCCAGTTTGAGCGAGTTCTAAGCTGCTTTGACCTACGTTACTTAGTTAAACAGATCGCGGGGGAAGTGATACTGAAAATGACAAAAGCTGAATTGAAATTACCTTGTGACAGTTTTTGTTTTAGTTATAGTGGTTGTGAAATCCATTTCTATTTATAAACCTCATATCTAAGCCCTGAGTTTTAGCTGACTCAGTAGGTAGAATAAGCATAATCTTAAATAATAAGTTGAGTTTTAGTAATTTCTTCAATTATTTTTATTTACATATTATTGGTTCATTTATATATTTTTACACAAATTATTCATATAATTATTTATTTAATTATGTCTTATTTATATAATACTGAACACTTTGGGCTTTCACATCCACCCACTGGCTTTGCTTCTTCAGCTTTTACTGAATTTCTGAATGTGGAAGTTTTTTTCTTTCTGAGAAACTTTGAGGAACTCATTGCACATAAGTTTAAACTGTATGCCAGACAGTCTCAAATTGTGCTTCACTTGAGAAGGTTTTGAACTAACTTACGAGACTGTCTGGTGATTTCAACTGTTGGAAAAGGCAGCAGAACTGAAACTGAAATGAAAACCGATCCCAGTTTCACACACTTTGTGTTTTCTCACAGATTTAGAATTGGGGAAGGTGGCAGAGTGTGCGGAAGCAGACACACCCATACATAGATTAATTACAGCTGTCCTTCTTTACATGCTTTGTCACTTATTTGAAGAGCTGGGCCCGAGATGGACAGTTGTTGAGTTGACTTGAATGCATAGGTTTTGGACAAATTTGTGCAGTGGTGTTCATGATACTAACACTTACGTGAATTGATTCTATTCAGGAAATCAGCCAGCTGACTTCTCTGTGGGGAAAAGCCAACAACAATCCTTCCTACCGCTCATGATCATGATTTGATCAGGGATCCCACGCATGCTGCAGAACAGGAAATTTAGTGACTAGTTTTCCAGCGATGGGAACATCTGGAAATTGATTAAAATGACCAAATAGCATGGAAATTATCTGTTTTGTCCTGGAAATGTTTAATTGTACGTTAGCCTGTGCTGTGGCCAAATTACTGCTACAGTTAGAGGAAAATTGTAGTCAGTTCGGAAAGCGAAAAAATCGGCTGTGGTGAGAACAGTCAAGTGCACCACGACGGCGAGCTAAGACGGGGGGTGTCCCATAAACGATGGCCACCTTTCGGCTGATGACCGTTTGTGAGCAAGTGCTGTCCTAGATTTCTTAAAAAGAGTGGGAACCTTGTTGATCATAGACTGTTAATGAAGATTCAGATCCGTTGTTAGTGTGAGAGAGGGCGACAGGGGGGCAAGAAAATACCAAATCAGTCTGTGTTGATGCTGTGGTGGGCCAGCACAAACAAATCCATGTTTGAGAAACACTGACTTTTTCAAGCCCCGATACCTTAACCAACCATTTTCATGACTTTTTGTTGTTATAATCCAAAGAGCAGCACAACAGTTGAGCATCCAGGAGTGTTGATTTGGATGTGAATACCCATTCCCTACCCAAAATATGTTTTATTTAAGATGACGGCCAATCCCAGCCCAGCTGTCTTCACTAAACACATCTGATTGGTCGACCTTCTTGGCTGCCACTAATAACAGAGCAGCCACTGGGTCTACCACAGAACCCGAAGACATTTTGATTGGTTGACCGCCGGGCTGACCACTAATGGCAGGATAGCTGAGAGTCAGACATGGAAGTAGTCTGGCTTTTATTTACGTACAAAGAAGGGATCTGGGCACTGAGGGCAACATTGTTCAGAAAGTGTTGGGGAGCTCTAGGATTTCCTCCTCTCAGCAAACAAGCTTTGCAGCCAGCGAGAATAGCTGCGGTGCTGTGATCCCATAACAGCATGTTATTTCTGAAGCATGCGTTCAGCTCCCTGACAGAGAAAATACTTTGATAGTAGAGTCTGCTAAGTCCTTTTGTCGTGACCCACATATATGCAGCAGGTGTGTGTTTTTATGACGCTTTACAATCTGTTTTTCTGTGTTTCTGTGCAGAAAAAGCCTCTGTCTGCTGTAATAAAGGAGGTGTGTGACGGGTAAGTTGATGATGATAACGGATCAGATTTGCTCTGCAGGCCTCTTGACATCATTATCTGTCTGACTGTATGTATTACCGTGAGTGTTAATATCAGTTTGTGTGCATGCGTAGCTGGAATCTCCCAGGTCCTGAGAACTACGCTCTGCAGTACGCTGATGGAGTGCAGACGTACATCACTGAATCGGTGAGTCACGTCTATGTATAAATCAATACAAATATTTATCTCCTTCAGGGAATCGGTCTGGTAAAATGTCTGAGCACATCTTGAAGACATTGAGCAACAGAACTGAGTCAGTCCGTCAGATGTTTCTGTGTTTAAGACGAGAATTTTTTATTTAAGAAGTGAATCACAACGTTGTCAGCATTTTGTGATCTGCTTTTCTGAGTATTTCCCTTAAATCCAAACGTACATGAAATGACGTCATTTAGGATGAAGCCCAGGTCACACAATGCCATTAATGCTATTAAAAATGGGTGTGAGACAGAGTGAATCAAAGGATAAGGAGAGAGAATGAAAGAAAGGGAACAGCAGCTGGAACTACACTCAGCTTCTTGGTGTCAAGTGACCTTTTAAAAAAGGTTGCCATCGAAGGCCCTCCTCCTCGCTGGGCTGAAGACGAGGCTGCAGAAGACATTACAATGCTGTAAGATATGCAGAGAAAAACATGCTTTATTTATTGCGTTGAAACACACAGCGGGCCTTGCCGTTGGTACAAGTTTGCTAACTTTCCGACTTTTGAAGTGAGTGATTTTGTGTTTAAACGCAGATGTTTCAGTTTAAGAGCAGTTTCTTGTTGAGTCTGAGGAACACTTGGCTTCAGTGCATGCGGTGTAATAATATGATTATTTCCTGCTTTCAGCAGCGATTTTCATATTCCTGATTCCTCAACTCAGGGTATCTGCCAGCACCTAATACGATTAGACACCAGTGCTGTCTTATTCCCAGATGTCATCAGATTGACACGACACGTTACTGAATTCACACATAAATCAAGTTCAGTTTGCTACTTCGCTCTATGACACATGCAAGTCACACATGAGTTTGGAAACTAACACATTGACCTCTGTCTTTATTTCAGTGCCCCAACTGGTAGTTGAATGCAAACCTGCACATGATGACACACAGTCTGACTGTTTTTGTGCCTCACCTTAAATTTAAAACCTAAACCAGGGACGGAGGTGAAAATACCTTCATGTAAAAGCTAGACGCCCTTTATACATTGCATCTGTTGCATTTGTAGCAAAGTTGATCTGTATTGTCCCCTTTGAATAAACCCTTGAAATGAGTCTGGAGTAGGATAAATGCATTGTTATAAGAGGCAATGCAGTATGAGCAGGGTTGAGTTGGGTACAGGCCGATTACATCACTCCCCTCATCTCCTTGTAAAAGCACAAAACATTTTGCTAATGGAGGAGGAGGGTCCAGTGCAGCTCTCTCCTCAGAGACGGCTGTTCTTGGCCAGGAGGTGCAGAGCTTGTTATCTTTCTGCAGCTTACACACAAAACAAATGTACAATAAAAAAAATGTCCTAACATGGACTCAACCATTAAATATTTATGTCATCCAACCCTGCTGTCTCTCGCTTCTACTGAAAGCAAGTAGTATATTTGTCCAAGTGTGAATTTGTGCATGGGTTTCTATGCTATTTATGTGCCCTTTTTATAGGTCATTGTAGGGTATGTATGGTTGTGTGAGTGTGTGTGGCTAACACACTGTCAGTCAGTGTGTTTTCAGTTTTCAGTTTAATGACTTTTTCCTCTGCGTGCATGTTTGTGTCTGTTTGTTTGTGTGTTGTAGAATCGTCTGGACATTAAGAACGGCTGCATTCTGCGTCTGACCAAGGCACCGGTGAGTCTGCATCAACCAGCCACGCTGTTCTTTCACCTCCCTCCTCTCACATTCCTCCCGCCCTCTGTCTCTCACTCAGTCACTCTCTCGTTTACACTCTCCATGAAGCACATTTACACAAATGGCTGCATGCACAGACAATAGAATAAGTCACAGCACAGTATATGAAGTTTCCATTAGTTTCGCACACAAACAGCTGGTAGAAATGTCCTTTAGAAAAACCAAGAGAGTTCTGTTATACTTTTATACTTTAAGTACATTTCAGAGCCTTTATTTTTTAAATTTTACTTGAATAAGAGTCTATTTTTAAACAAGTGTCTGTACTTCTCCTTGAATAACAAATGTGTGTACTTTTGCCACCTCTAGAAAAGGGAGTATGGTGTGGGTGTGTGAGCGTGTGTGTCACACGTTGTGTTTTTGGTTGATGAACGCAGGGCCGCTGTGCAGAGGACTTGTACAAGGGCATCCAGAGCTCGGACGCTGGCGTGCGCTGCGATTCGCTCAAGGAGCTGGCGAGCGTTTCCACGGACGTGACCTTCGCTCAGGAGTTCATCAGCCGAGACGGACACCTCCTTTTGGTCAAGATCGTAGAGGACTCTAATGAGTTAGTACTCTCTGTGTCTGCCTGAATATTTTATTTCCCCGAGATGGTGCTGAGGGGTTAGGTGGTTCTCACACATGTACCAAAGCTAACTGTATAAAAAAAAGGCGTTTACTTGTTGAATATATTTATAAATATTAGACTTATATTCTGTGACGTGTTTCCTCACATTTGGTCTTAACTCAGTCTTCCAATTTCAGTTCAAACCTATTATCTTATTTATTTTCAGTAGTTTCCATGATCATAGATAACACTGGCAAACTCCACTGTGCAGAGAGCTGAATCCTGAGTGCTGCATCACATGATGGAAATGTTTCAGAGAGCATTAGTATAAATATTTACACTGTAAAACAGTAACTGAATTACTGAAAAGATTCCACACAAGCAGGCCATCTGACTGCTATCTGTCTATCAGTGTGTGTGTGTGTGTGTGTGTGTGTGTGTGTGTGGTGAATGCACAAAATAATTATTTCTGTGTGTGTCATTCAGGAGTAATGTGATCATGACCCATACGCTGACAGGCTTCATGGAGCTGATGGATCATGGGATAGTTTCTTGGGAGAACCTCTCGTCTGTCTTCATCAAGAAGGTCTGCCGCTCTCTGAGTCGCCTGTCTGTTGTTTGCTGCACACTCTCTCTCTCTCTCTTACTCTTCCCTTCCCTCTTCTCCTCCTCCTCCTCCTCAGATCGCCAGCTTCGTCAACGCCAAGCCGACCGATGCGTCGATACAGCAGGTGTCCTTGGACATCCTGGAGAACATGGTGCTGAGCAGCCACAGCCTCTTTCTGCAGGTCAAACAGGAAGTCACAATGGAGAGGCTCATAGCTCACCTCCAGGTGTAAGTAACGGCTACATCCAGACCGCCAGTCATACTTGTTTTTGTTTTTTTTACACCTCTGTGGGGCAGTAAGCGGGGTGATAAGTAGCAGCATTGTCTCTTTAAAAGAAAGTTATTAAATATGTCAAACACTAGTGCCGCCTCTACTGATTCACACCCAAGATTTCACAGTTAGACATCATGTATTGATTTGAGAATTAAAACCTTTAATGCAAAAACATTTCTTAAATCTCAGCCTGTTTCATTGAACAAACATTTTCATGCATCTGTGGGAACATATAGATTGTCTGTCTCACAGTTACCTTTCTTCTTTCAGGACAAACCAGCAGATACAGACCAAAGCCATGGCCCTGCTCATGGCACTACTACAAACAGCCGGGGACTTGGACAGACAGGTGCTGCTGTTTCTCACTTTTCTAACGCACTTTTTATCGACTTCCTCTTTTCATAGCAATTCAAACTTCCAAGCTTGCAGACAAGTAGGTATTTAGTTTGTTTCAGGGCCCTCTGATGTCTGTTACCGCTGGGCAGAAGTGCCTGCAGCTGTAAATGCGCTGTGCTTACTTTATTGGTGTTTTTACATTTGAGTCATCTTAACTCTTTACTGTGGTGCATTCATGCGCTGATGGGAAGCTTTAATATCCCAGGCTGAGAGTGGCACGCATGTGACTTGAGGGTGAAGGAGGGTTATTTGCACGAGCAAGCCATTATTGTCTTACAGACAGTTGGAAATTACCCATCTATCCCTTTCTGTCTGGTCGTATTTCTGCAGACAGTCGAGGCTTTCTCTCCCTCTGTTCTCCCCTGCTCCTCTCTCATTGTACGGACACAGTTCCTTCATTCAGCCCTCCGTCTCCTTTCTCTCAGACTCTCTTTTGTTACTCTCTCACACACATACACACACACACATACTTCCTCACTTCTGCAGTAGGTCAACAAATCCACCCTTCTTATCAGCAAATTAGTCATGAACAAATCTAGGTTGGGTTAGAGATGCATGTACCAGCAAAGTCCCACACGCCAACCCACCCACCAATCTGTTACTGACACTATATCGCCACCCCATGTTGAAAACATGTCATTGCACCCCAGTAACACATTGTACTTTTGCTCACTGTGTTATCTCGTGTTCCCTGTCTTCTGTTTTCCAGGATATGTTTGCGTTCCTGAATAAGAAGAATCTCCGTCAGTACATTTATAAAGTAAGTTCATCTCAGTGATAATGTGATGGAAGAAGACCTTGTTGTTGTGGCCTGTTGAGGAAAATGTGCATTTTGTTGCAGAACATCATCCATAGTTCTGGCTCAGTCCAGGACGAGATGGCCCACTACCTCTATGTCCTGCAGTCAGTTACCTTGAATCACCTGGAGCCTCGCATGAGGTCGCCTCTGGACTGTTACAACCAGGTGAGCTTTAACACGACGGGCCAAACTCATTTTACTGACTTGTTACACCCACACACATAGTTGTTTTTAAATGTAGGTAGTTTGATTTCTTAACCCTGCACACACATCCTTCAGGATTTATCACCAGTCCCTGTTTGACCTTAGATTGCTAAATTGTAAAAATTCCCCAATGATAGGCACCAAAATGAGTTTGTTTATTGTCCGGGAAAGCACTCAAATTTCTAACATTCTTGGTGGAAATTGATCAGATACACCAGATGAAGAATGTGTGGACTAAAACATCATTGTGGTTTTTTTTATTATCACCATGATTGGTTGTTTTATCTGCCTCTTCCCTGTCGCTCCAGGAGCAGAGAGACATCCTTCATGGTTTGCGTCAGGCAGCGTTCGAGACAGAAAGCGAGAACAGTCTGAGTCACGAGAGACGGCGCTCGCTCTGCGCCAAAGAATTCAAGAAGTTAGGATTCTCTGTAAGTGAGAAGTTATTCCGTAATGTTTCTGTTCACTTTATCAATACTCATCTCCATAGTACTGATTCATATTGCCTTTGTTCATTTCCTTTCAGAACAATAGTAACCCTGGTCAGGACTTGGTGCGAACGCCTCCTGGTCTTCTAGCTTTGGACACCATGTACTATTTTGCCACGTGCTATCCTGACGCCTACAGCCGGGTGAGTGGGATTTCTCTGCTGTTAATTCAACAAGGCAAAGAGTTCTCCATTTGACATTTTATGTATGGCACAATAAAACATGTCCTGACTTTGGTAAATGTCATAGCTTGCATGTTTTCAATGCCTGTCACTCATTCAGGTGTGCAGAGATTTCTTTCTATATAGCAAAAACAATTAAAATAAATTATATAAATAGCTGTTTATGCTGTTTTATTTTTCGTGAGGTAGAATTGCTCATAATATTTCATAATCTGAGCATGCCGGCAGTATGACACCTTTTGCTATTGGCCTGTGGCCCACTATTAAGTTTCAGTTTTGGACAGCCCTGGTCTAATACAGGATTAAACGTACAAGCTGATAAACTGTAAGGAGGGTTCACTTTATGCCCTAACTAATTTGTAATGTTTACAATACAGTATCACATTGTTTTCCTCCCCCCAGTTTGTCCTGGAGAACAGCAGCAGGGAAGACAAACATGAGTGTCCATTTGCCAGGAGCAGCATCCAGCTCACACTCATCCTGTGTGAAATCCTGCGAATCGGAGAGCCTCGTAAGTTGACCTCCGATCTGCCGAGTGCCGCAACTTTGTCTGTAACCTCTGGTCAAACTAATAATCTTGCTTTATAATGGTTTTGTCCTTATCCTTCTCCATCCCTTCCTCTGTTTACAGCCTCAGAGACGAGATCCGACTACCACCCCATCTTCTTCAGTCAGGACCGGCTTTTGGAGGAGCTTTTCTGTGTCTGCATTCAGCTGCTCAACAAGACCTGGAAGGAGATGAGAGCCACACAGGAGGACTTTGACAAGGTACAATAGATATAGCATAGCATAGTCTGGCTGTCTTGCAAGAACTATTGTGCCTTGCAGGAGGATTTCGAGCTCATTGGTCTAGCTTCATATTTTAAGATACGTGGTATTAATCTTCTCATGTAACAAGTAAGAAAGCAACGGAACATATATGATTATGATAATAGGCAGAGGACTCAAGTTTTCACAACACTGACAAACACAATTAAATAATGGTCTGTTAGAAAACTGAAGGACCAAGATGAAATTCATTGGATATTTTTTCAGGGTCAACAAGCCAGTTATGATATTTAGTTCTTGATGACAGTTGTTGTTTCTTCCCACAGAGATTATGGCTTCGCTAAGGGAAACTCTACAGTTGCTACACAGACAAATAACTGTTGAATCGCTGGTCAAGCACGGCTCAGTGGACTGTCACTGCGTGTGTAAAAAGATGACACAGGGTATTTCAGATCCGAACCGGCCTGTTTACTGCAAATCTTGCAAACAAATGCTGTGACATAGCACCAGTGCGTTTCCCATGGTGTACTCGGTTGTGGTAGACCGCTGTGATGTTGGACAGGCCTAACCACCACATGTTGAAACTGCCTTGTATCCACCCACCGTTTCACTTCCTAAATAGCAGTGATTACCTCATTCTGTGATTAAATCCTTCATCTGTTGATTATTATCACATAGTATGTATGTATGTATACACAGTTGCATCCTGAATCGTGTATAAAACTGAGCCTCAGCCACTCTGAGTGAGATTTCTCTCATCTTTCAAGCACCTTTGCAGGGGTTAAATTATTTAACAAGCCCACCTTCAGGTATGTTAATGAACTATAGAATAAATTAAAATGTAACCAAAGGACAAACTCCTCCAGACACACAGAGTTTAACTTAAATAAGAGCGTTTTAAAAGAGGTTTTATGGTGGATTTGTCTAATTTTGTACTTTTGTGACTTTGTAAAGGTTCATTCTCATGCTAACCATCCCCGACCCCCACAGATAGAGTCGACCTCGCGTTTAGGAACACACAGTGACCTTACAACCTCAGTGTAGTACTTGTACTATGATAATAGGTTGAGCCAAGCCTTCAGCAGCGGGGTCATGTCTGGGAGAAATATTGAGAATTCAGCCGTCCTGAAAGGGAGAGTGGAGGATCTTTTGTCCTGAGTCTCATTTAAACATCACACACTGCCGTCCGTCATCCACAAAGTGCTCTCCTGATAGTCATAAAACTCAGTGACCTTTTGCCCTTTCAGCATAGGGCCAGTGTCCTGAGTGCCGGGCCAGCAGACCGGCCTTTTGTTTTTGCCCACGGCCCCCCTACCCAGGGTGCTTTGGGGGCAAGGACAAAGGGGCATTAGGTGGACAAAGAGAAGCGTGGTGGGCGGCAGAAACAGAAGGGGAGAAGGAAGCGAGGAAAAAACAAAGCGCTCAGGGCATGAGCAGTAATTACACAACAACAGAGGGAACTTAAAACCTCTGGAAACAAAATGAGAGGGAGAGAATGAGAGGGAGGGAGAGGGAGGGGAGCGGAGTGGAAGGAGAGAGAGGCCGGTGGTATGTGTGCTATCACAGAGGTTTCGTCACTTATAGAATTAAGTGGAAGTGTTCATACTCGGACTCCTCCACACAGTGTATTTGTGTAGCTTTAATACACCCACAGGGATAACGGCCATCCTCTCACACACACACAGACGCACACAGACACACACATTTAGCATATGTGCACATGCTGCAGGGTTTTAGGGAGCAAGGACAGCTGCCAGTCAGCGCTCCTATTGGTCAGTTCAGTTAAATAACAGAGGGGCTGGACAGGAGGGGGGGGGTGCATGTGTGGGAGAGTATCAGGGTGTCTGTTTACAAAACACCCACAGGCCTGCACCTCTCCTGTCATGTAGGTGCCTCTCTCTCCCTCTCTCTCTCACTCATATTTGTCACTCTTTCTCTGATTGCTGACGACGGGTTGAATTTGGGATTTAAAAGATCTGTCGTAATAGTCAACCCCCCCCCACCCACCCACCCCCCCCAAGGAAAAAAGATGGAGGTAAGGTTGTTTTCTAGAGTTGCTTCTTGGTTGGAATGTGGGTTCAGTAGTGTGTAATGGATTAGTTTTAATTGGGCGGTCGATAGCAAAATGTTCCAGGTGTAGACACATTTTTCATCCGTTCTCCAGCTAGATAGTTAAAAAAGGTGACATTCACCAATAGATGTGATTTATAGCGTGAGAGTTAAGATGACACAAGTGGCTGTCTGAGGCTTGTGTCATGTGAAAGTTGCCGGAGGACAGTGAGGTTATTTTGGCTCAGGAGGGACTCGAGCGGTGTGAAACTCTAGCTGCTTGTTTTGTGTCCCTGCATGTTCACACAATATAGAATGACAGTCTGGATTTCCACTGCTGCCAGACAGCATAGCCTTGGTCATTCTCTGTGGTCACATTAAAAAAAAAAAAAAACCTGTGTCAGATTGTCACAGGATTGAGATTTTCCTGATTTTGTATGTGATGTATGTGTGAGCGGATTTCTTTGTGGCGGCTAAAAGTCGTAGAAGTCTGGACAGAGCTGCACCGACTGGGTCGAATTACACTTCAGTCACTGATCGTTCACAATCAGCCAAGTTGGGTGTGAACAGGAATGATCTAGGTCAGCAGAGTCAGAGGAGCGCGAGCAGGACACACAGTGCTGGAGTCGGCTCGCTCTTGTAGCACTATATAGATTTTTATATAGATTTCCCTCCGTTTACAACTGAGGCGCGTACACTGACGGGACCTATATTTTACATACATGCGAGCGCACTTGTTTGACCAACTGCCCCTGAGCTCTTTTTTCAGGGCAGCCCTGTCCTTCTGTGTGAGCTTCAGTTTAACAAGTCATGCAGAATACACACACACACACACACACACACACACACACACACACACACACACACACACACACACACACACACACAAAATTAAAGCAAATGCTGAGTCAGTGCTACAGCAGCTCAGTTTGTAAGGGACTTTACAAATGAGTTTGTAAGTAAAATGTATATTAGATTTTTCACCCAATTATAAAGATGAACTGCTCTAAAGTAGAAGTAAAATTAGTTTGTCCATCATTGATTTGTACTAATTCAGCACTGATCGATGGCCCGGCCCCTGTGTGTGGGGTCAGAGAGGAGAGGAGGTAGGTGAAGGCTAATGCGATTGGACAGCGTGAACCAGGAAGGCTCTTTAACTGATAATAGAAGCAGGCGGGAAAGTACACGAATGGATCGGAGGCAAGGGTGGTTAGGAAGGAGTAATGAATGAAAGAGTGGAGCAGAGGAAGTGGAGTACTCTTCCTCAAACAGCCGGCAAGCTGCACTTATTAACAGTCAGTCCACGGACCATGTTCTGGCCTGGGAGAGTAAACCTCATGTGGCCAAAGGTGATGATTAAAGACCTTTTTCTGTATTTCAGTAATTCTGTCAGAGCTAAATTCTTCCTTTCTCTGTCACAACTTGTTGCACACACAAATCTGATGACTCTACACAAAGCGGAAATTTGCGTGAACTTCTGCAAACGTGAGCACGGAGTTCATTCTTGGACATGGGAACGTGATGTGATGACAGGTCACAACTTTGACCTTTTTAACCATGGGAAGCCTGACACATCAAAAAAATAGGACCTGAATAGAACAAATTAATATATTTCTTTTGTATCATATTTGATACATCAACAGCAATGATTTCAGTTCATTGCATTTGGAACATTTCAATTGGTTTGTTTTTAATTGTTTCCAAAAGGTTTATAATGTTTTAATTTATTTTTGTCTTTATTTTCTCAAGAAAATCAACTTTGTCAATATGATATAAAGATTATGGTTGTTTTAGTTAAAAATCAATGATAAAAAGATAATTATTAGCAAGTGAGCTATTGAAACATCCAAGTGATTATCAGGGGAGCAAGCTGCACATATAAAAAAAACATAAATATCTCAATTAGTTTAATTAGATAATCGACACTGTGTTAGCCATAAATTCTGATTGTTTCCCCCTCAATGCATTTACAGATAAATCATCTTTTATACCTGCTGCATCATATTTGATATACATAATACAGTTGTACTTTAAATATAGTAAATACTCATATTGAAATATTAGTAACAGTAACGTTAAAAATAAGAGATTTCCTTGCCAAAAACGTGCAAATACAACAGATACAACTGGCATTATACCACATCATCTCTTCATCTGCTTCTTGGATGAATGAAACTTGTGCATTAAGTGATGTGTAACACCATTTCTAAGAGGGGTTATCTTACAGCCTCAACCCGAAGGAGAAGTGTTAGTGGGTGAGCGCCCAAATACAAGTCAACAAAAGTAAACCCTCTGTGTCCATGTCTCCATCCACAGGTGATGCAGGTGGTGAGGGAGCAGATCACCAGGACGCTGTCCAGTAAGCCGACCTCCCTGGAGCTCTTCAAGAACAAAGTTAACGCTCTGAACTACAGCGAGATCCTCAAACTGCGGCAGACCGAGCGGCTGCACCAAGAAGAGACTCTCGCTCCGCCCGTGCTGTGAGTGTTCCAGCTGCACCCTGCAAAAACAGCTCTTCTAGAAACAAGCCAAATATTCATAAATATAATCAAATGAGCTTTTATTAAGCAAAAGAATCTGCCAATGGGCTCCAATTCTTAAAAGTAGCATAAATATCTAGCCAAAGAAAGACTGTAATTGGCCTTAAAACTAGAAAGAAATCCCCCAAAATGGAAGCAAGTGCTTATTACAAGTAATGAAAGCTCCATTATATGAAATAAACTTTCTTAAAATAAGTATTTTGGTCAGTTTATCGAGCTGAATAATAATTAGCAAGACACAATAAGACACAATTTCTTCAAACGGCATCATAAAAACAAGTGACTTTGTCTTGAATTAAGGAACCAGAACCATTCTTATTAGCATTTTGTATTAAAAGTGAAACATTCATTTACAGACCATCCATTACAGTACAGTGGCACTTCTATTAAACAAACTTTAATCCACACAACCACATAACAGATCAGTTATTTATTAGTACATCTTGTGTTTCCCCCCCCCAGACTCTTCAACACAATGGCTATTCATGTTTTAAATGTAGAAAAACGTAAAGCAGCTCAGTGCAGCTCAACCTGATCAGCTCCTCTATTGACGACTCCGGAGAGTTTCCACCCGCATGGAAGCAGCTGACGGCTCAGCAGCCATACTGTTTACTACGCTACAGTTTGTCCCTAAACACTGAGTTTAACAGTGTGTCGCTGCCACATTAAGGGGACAAGTCTGTGAAGGTGCCACCCGAGCTATGAACCCCCATTTAATTTCTCTTTATATTTATCAGGAAGGCGAGTGTCCCATATAAAACACTGACCACCTACCTGTGATTAACGTCTGCATCGTTAAAAAATAAGTCAATACAAGGCCTACTGGTAAATAATATGAGCAAGTGCTGTCCTGTATCGTCAATAAAAACTCCTGGAAAATGATTTCTTATAAAGCGTGGGAACCCTGGGTCATGCTACCGCCATGTGACGAACCATCTTTAAAGCATTTCCTTGAGGTGTGTGTGTGTGTGTGTGTGTGTGTGTGTGTGTGTGTGTGTGTGTTGTGTGTGTGTGTGTGTGTGTGTGTGTGTGTGTGTGTGTGTGTGTGTGTGTGTGTGTGTGTGTGTGTGTGTGTGTGTTTCTCTTTGCAGCGAGCTCAAAGAGCGCCTGAAGCCAGAGCTGCTGGAGTTGATCCGCCAGCAGAGACTCAACAGGCTGTGTCAAGGAACGATGTTCAGGAAGATCAGCAGCCGACGCAGACAGGGTGAGAGAGCGCGCGCACACACACACACACACACACAGAACAGTGTGCGTCCTGTTCGGCTAACCTCTGGGTCTGACTCTCTCAGATAAACTGTGGTACTGCCGTTTGTCACCCAATCACAAAATGCTTCACTACGGCGACGTGGAGGAAGACATGGACAATCCACCAATCGAAACGCTGCAGGAGAAGAGTGAGTTGAATGGAAAGATTCACAAGATATAGAGCTCTGATTTAATTATTTGAATTAAATTATCCCCCTCCTCCCTCAGTTCCAGTGGCAGATATTAAAGGCTTGCTGACGGGAAAAGACTGCCCTCACATGAAGGAGAACAAAGGCAAACAGAACAAGGTCGGCAGCCCTCCTCGTCTTTTCAGATCCTGTTCGCCTCTCGTTGTTTGACGTAACAAACGACACACTGTGTTTGTGTTTGTGCTGCAGGAGGTGCTGGACCTGGCATTCAGCATCACGTATGACGTAGAAGAGTACAGCTTGAACTTCATCGCCCCCTCTAGAACTGATGTGAGTCTTTCTCTGATCTTCTCAGAACATTTTCCTCTTTTCTTTTACTGTGTGCAAGGTACAGTAAGAGTATAAACAGTATACTGAGTGGCTTTCCTGTGTCTCTGTCAGTTCTGCCTGTGGACAGATGGACTCAGCGTCCTCCTGGGCCGGGACATGAGTAGCGAATCCATGCGCAGCGAGCTGGAGATCCTCCTCTCTATGGAGATTAAGCTCCGCCTCCTGGACCTCGAGAACGTTCCCATCCCAGAAAGTGCGCCGGTCGTCCCCAAACCACCGAGTAACTACAACTTCTGCTACGACTTCAGCCAGACGGAGCAGTAGAGTGTGTGTGTGTGAGTGAATGTGTAAATATATGTATGTGTGTGTGTGTGTGTGTGTGTGGTGAGAGCTGACCTGTGCATCCATGCACTTATTCCTATAACACAGATTTATTATAACCTCAATGTTTAGAGTTTTCTTATGTGGTCTTCTACATCCAAGTGAAACAATGAACAGGAGAACAGCCCTGCAGAAAGTGACGTCGTCTTTAAACTACAGTAGTGATGGTGAACTGCTACCGGCCGCGCTAATGCTCCACATTATCACTGCTCAACTTTCAGCCCCGACTCTCCATTCACGATTCCTCCTCAGCTGTCTGGAAGCTTCGACGCAGCTTCGGAAACTCTTGAGATTGAGATTCTCCTTATACAACACAGCCACTCAAGTTAATGGTACTTTAATTTTGTTTTGTAATCATTTTATATATTTCTAAATATATCTAAAACTATGTAAGACACGAGGAATATTCCTGTATTGCTGGTTGAGATGCTTTTACGTTTGTCTCAAAATGCTGGCCGGTTGCTTTTTTTCTTCTTCTTTTAAATGGGCATTAAGTAAAACAGAGAGCTTTCTCTCGATGTGGTACACAATGTGTTTTTCAGTGTTGGACAATATTTTGCATTCACATACCTACAGGTACTCTTTGTACGGATCCTAACGGCTCAGTAAGATTACTGTGGAGCAGAGATGCAGATGTGCATCAGGTACCAAGCTGACTTCATTATATGCGGTTGTATCTTTTCCATAATCAAGTTTGATAATAAGAACAACTTGTAACAAGTTTTATATCCAACCGGCAATCATCCCAGTGGATCTGTACGATACAGTATGCAATCAGTGATCTTTTTCTTGTATCAAATTAATTCTTAAACTGATCAATTTTGTACAAGGTACTTTATAATACTATGATGGAGGCGTCAGTCACAGTGTGCTATACTCGAAGCAGCTACTGGAAACTGACACAGGTCTACATGTATATTGTGGCTGTGCCTTTTTTTGTTTTTTTTGGATCATTATTTCAGTCCTCTGCAGTGCATCCCTGACACACAACCCTCTGTGATAACATTCACTTTGAATCATGTGCTTTGGGTGACTTCACATGAATAAACAGTTAAAAAACAAACAAAAGCACGTCTGTACGTTTGGTTTTATTTATAAAATCAACATCTATGTATCCTTGATCCGTCACAGTGACTCATACAGTGTTAGAAAAGTACAATTATTCAACCATGGTCATACAGTGTAAAGGGATATCTCTTCCATTAGACGTCCTTCAGATGAATTCAAGTTAGTTTGCCTGCAGTATCCAGTAATAAACAGCAAATGTTCAGAGATTTCCAGTGAAAACATTTTGTGATGTTATGATTTCGTCTCCTGATAACGCCGGCCAGTTTTCAGACAACCCTTAAATAATTCAAAGTACCGTGAATGCAGAACATGGAGGGACGCTGCTGACTTCCATCAGCAAAAATAAAAAGGTCAAATCTCCATCTTCTGAAAGACACCGTGCAAAATAAATCACCTTAGCTGTATTTTTATCTGAAGAGTATTTAAGGACCACTATTTCCCCTTACCTGTATCAACCAATGGTATCAACACAGAACTCATTGCTAAAAACATATTTCCTTATGTCGATATGAGATATTAAAAAACAAATCAATCGAGAGCATTTAAAAGGAAGTTTTAGAGCCCAAAACAAAGGAGAAAATTGGAATATAATGTCATTATAGTTGTGGACTAAATGTAAGAATTATTCCACAGTGCATCTTTCAGTTTGAGTCCCATTAGTTCCTAATGATTCAGTATATAAATTACACTATATATTATTAAGAATTTAAAAAACCTATGTTATGTAAATTACACAATATGGTAAAAATAAAGAAGATGATATTGCATTTGGTCATACTGTGATTTCGATAATATTTTGATTAACTGATGAATCAAAAAGATTCTCTGTGACATCTAGCTCCACATTTTCATTACAAGGATTCAAGGATTTAGGATTTCCACTGATTTTAAACGTAAATGTACAAAGCACCTTGAAATGCCTGACTTTAAAATCAAACCCGTACCCTCAGTGATGAGTGTGTTTTCACTTTTCAACATTCCCTTCAGTTCTTTTGCAAAAAAAGTTGAACTCACGGAGCAGACTTTGGTCAGCAGGTTGCGTTATAGGAAGGGCGGATCAGTTAGTTTGTAGTGGACGTTTTCCAAGATGGGCAGCTGTGATTGGAGGAGGTGTACAGTTGTTGCTGAGATGTTTTTGCACCTTGAGATGTCGAGTGTTCGCAGACGGCGACAGTGCTGCACCAGGCAGAGCAAGGATCTGGGGAGGAGGTGGTTCAAAGGTCAAGAGATTAGGAATTTATCCTTTATCTGAGGGTTACAGATGCAGTAGTGGGGGGGTGTGCCACTCACCTGTCAGTGATATTACAACTGGAGAGGTTGAGATGCTGCAGTCTGTGCAGACACGGTGCAGCCTGTTCCACCCCGCGGTCAGTGACACCCGGGCAGTGGCTGACAGACAGGCTGGTGAGGCTGCGGCAGTGCCTGGCTACTGATGCCAAGCTGGCGTCGGTGATCTCCGGCAGCATGGAGAGAGACAGTTGGCGGAGGTCTGGGTAACGCACCACCTGAGAAGAGAGGAGAAACAGCATTGGCTCCTGACTTTCAGCTTTTGAAACATTCTGCATTCAAACATTTGCCTCTCCTCACCCTCCCTCCTCCCCTCACCTGTGTGATGCTGCTGTCAGTGAGTTTGAGGCAGGCAGAGAGGTCCAGCTCCTGCAGCCTGTTGAGAGCTAAAAGTGAAGTTTCAGCCTGCTGTTTGAACTGCTCCAGGTCATTCTGTGTCACCACCTTGGGTCGCTCCTCGAACGGCAGACGAGGAGGCTTGAAGAAGCCCATGTTGCCAAAGGTCCGGGTGAAGCTGAGACCCTGATGAGATAAGAACATAACAGTTACTGTAACTTCTAGAGTATAAGGAAAGCTATTCCCTTTTTTTTCCTGACACCCTTCACATGTCTGTGGCTCTCACCGTCTGCTGATCACGGTCACATGTGGCTCTTTCCTCCATCCCCAGCAGCCCCCAGTCTGTGACTTCTTTACACCAGCCGAGCCGCAGAACTACCAGCCTCCGCAGGAAGGTGGCTATAGAGCGCACAGACAGGTCAGTCACATCAATACATGACGTCAAGTCTAGCTCACGGAGAGTGTCCCCAAGAAGCTGGGTGAGAGAGAAAACTGCAAGATCCTGAAGAGAGAAGAGGAAGTTGTTGGAGGATGTGTTTTTCCACAAAGACACGTTTAACACACGCACGCACGCACGCACAGACAGACAGACAGACAGACAGACAGACAGACACTCACTCACTCACTCACTCTAATGTAGGTGCAGCTCTTGAGGATGAGTGTCTCCAGCTGTGGTCTGGTGCTGGATCCCGTCAAGCCTTTCACTATCTCTGTCCCGCTGATGTGCAGACACACAGACAGATCCAGACTCTTCAGGGACGACACAGACAGAAGTTCAGCGAGGCCTGTGGACGACACCCGGTTAATTAATGTGCACGGAGGGTGTGAGAGTTTTTGTCACTTTGGGTGCGGTGTAATGAACACTGTGGCGTCTAATGGCTACTAAGACTTATATTTGTATTGGCACTCTATGATACGCACAAAAACAAAGCGACATTAATGGCACCTGATTCAGTGATCCTCCAGTCACGGGACAAGCAGAGGTGTGTCAGTGTCTTCAGGCCCCGTGCTATGGCCAGTACAGACCTGTTGGTCAGCGAAGTGCAGGCACTCATGTCCAGTCTCTGGATGCTTGGCTGGTGCTTCACCAGAATCTCCACTGAGTAGTCGGTCAGCTCCTTACAGTCATGCAGAAACAGTTCCTCTAGGACCAAATCATTAACCTGGAACAGAAAGAACATCAATATATAAAACCCTTCTGTCTTCAGTGAGGACAAGCCATTGAAACTCTTTATTTTCAACAAAATTAAAAGGACATAATATCGTGAAAATATTCTAAATTATAATGAAATCTTAACCAGTATAAAAGTAGACTATTGATTCTGCATAAACACCCAAATAGGTGCAGAGATATGGCAGCTCGAGCAATAAAGAAGCTGTTGCAGGGACCTGTTGAAGGTATCCTGACCTGTGCAATGGTGCGTAGAGACTCTGGGGTGACGGAGGTTCTGCTGAGGTCCAGAGCTACAAGAGTGGATTTCTGCTCTGTTAAGAACCTCCGCAAGATCCTCAGCGACAGCATTGCGGACGAATCCTCAACGGCTCCCACCGGGCACCCTCGATACGGGTCAAACTCAAAAGCAATATGGCAGCCGGCCAGCGAGATGCGGCGGAGGCGCGGGGTACAGCCGGTGAGCCGACTGAAGGTGAGGTCGGAGAGGTAGCGCAGGTCTGACAGTCCCAGCTCCTCCAGGCCGGACAGAGCTGACCTGACCTGGAAAAAGAAATTGGACTTTACACGTGGAAAAACAATAAAGCTGTGCAAACACATCAACAATAAAAGCTTACTGTGGGGAGAATTAGTGTGAAAGGTTACATTTACCTGCTGTAATACGGAGGGGAATTACCAATGGTCATTATTTAAAATCAGATATAGAGATCATCATCGTGACTTAAGACGGAGCTATATAGGTGCATTTGCAGCGTCTTAGTCGCTAAAATGCCTCTGGTTTTATTTTTCATTTCATCTCCAGTGTCCAAACACTTAGATAAAGATAAATATAAAAGATTATGCTGGAGGAACAGATTCCCGGGTGGTCCGAAAGGCTCCGATACACGAAATGGAACTGCACCTTAGTCAGTGTCATTTGTACCAGCTGTGATTATAACAGTAAATACCTGCTGCCTGTGCTCCTCCCTGGAGAGGAAAGCCCCGGACATGAAGAGGCTGTCCAGGCCCCCGAGGTCCAGCCTGCGGAGGGAGGTGAGGTGAGGGAGGAGGGCCAGCAGAGAGGCCTCTGTTATGCTGCTACCAGGCAGGGCCAAGCTCTCCAAATTAGGACCCAAGCACAGACCCACCTGAAGGAGGGTGGAGAAAGACAGAGCGAGAGATAGCAGAGATGATCGCATGAGAGGGGATAATTCACTTCCTGCTGTCTCTCTCTACGCCATAAAAAATAACATTTAGACACATTTCATAAATAGTAATATATATAATACATCAAATCTTTAATTCAGTGCTTGCATGTAGGGACAATAAAATGGAAACACTCAAGTAAAGTACCTCAAAATTTTACTTAAATACTTGAGTAAATGTGCTGCAAATGTACATCGATAATCAGTTTCTTTGATTACTAATAATCGGCGTCTCCACACACACACACACACACACACACACACACACACAATAATGTGATAAGGGGGTAAATGAGGGTGAACTTTGGACCATGACGTGTCTTATTGTCCCACATCCTGGTCCGCGTGACGGGAAATTAAAACGATAAGAGTGATACCATGCAAATACTTAAAAAAAGGTCTTATTTCTGTTCTCTTGTTCCTGGTTTGTACTACAGTGCTAGCCTTTCAGAGGAGAGACTTCTCTTCTTGCCTGGTGGCAGTTTGTCTCTGGGTGGAATAAAATCTAACTTGGGTTTGCTCGACAGGTTCTTCGTAAGCCCCTCAAGGTTGGGGAATTCTCTGAAGCCCACAATGAAGCGTTTGATTAGTTTTAAGTTAAAACTAATCAAAATAAGAATAACTAGGTCTTCACATGACAAAAACAAGAGTTTCAACACAGTAAAGGCATATTTAAACACTGATATCAGACCTCGATACAGAGGGATGGACTCTATGAGGGGAGCTCCGTGTGTTCTTAATGTTGAAACTTGGGCACTTTTACAGGAATATCTATCATAATAAAAAGCTGTTTCTTCTCAGCTTTCATCTCGAGCTACGGAAAGACCTGTCCGCATTCATTCTAAACTCCTGGTAGTGAAATGTTATTAATCGTAATAGTGTACTGCACCTCCTGAAGCAGCGTTCTGGACATACTCAACCCATCGAGCTGTGTGATGATCAGACTGCAGCGTGACCTTCTGCCCAGACCCCGGATCAGCTCCAGGGCCGAGGCTGAGGCGGGGAAGCAGAAAGTGACGTTCTTCTAAAACAAAGAGAAGCACACAGAGAAGAAGGGAACACAGACTTTAACTCTGCCCTTGAGCTTCCACAGTCAGGTTGCAGACACACAATGTTGACTGATTTCAGTCAGTCAACATTGTGTGTCTACACCCTCTGAAGAAGTCATAACGCAAAAGTGTGTCTCTGCTCTGAAATTACCTGAAAGCGCGAGTCCTGACTGGCGCTGTACCATCTGCGGCTGACCAGCGAGGCCTCCTTCCTGTCTGAAGCATCAAGAAAGCTCAGGATGTAAACTATGATCTACGGCGAGAGACAGAAACAAAGCATTAAGTAACAACCGATGTTTACTGATGCAGGAAGGAATAATCCACCCCCAAGGGTTAACCTGACAGCTTCTTATGAACTCACACTGACACTGAATGTCTTTCAGGTCTAACGAACTCTGAGTTGACGAAGCTGATGGGAAATTCTGAATTTCCGGTTTCACAACAGCTGATCAGTGGCGGTCCGATCAGTTCTGAGTATGTTCACTCTGAGTTAAGCTTGTGCACGGTGAATGAATGGAAAAAGCCTTTATCAATGGAGCTCTAAAACTACGATTCTAAGTTTCCTTACAGATTTTTAGTATTTAAACTGAGATTATGTGGCAGCAACAAACATTTTAGAAGTTTTTATTCTGACTTGACGCTGTGTAATATTTAAACTTGAGGGTATAAAAGCTGTAACTAGATAATCCTGAGTATAAACTGATATCCAACCAGGAATATATATAGGAGGGGAATAAAAACAAACTGTAGCACTCAGAAACGTCATATAATTACAATAAAATAAGGAGAAAATACAGAATAAGAACACCTTACTCAAAATGTGTAGTTGTCTTACCATCTGTGGGCTCATATTTTGATGGCATATCTTTTATATAATATTAATTTCAGAATGATCCTCACTAAATTATGCCAAGGAGCAGAAGTTAAGTAACACAGTGTGATTACTACTCGCCTATTTTTTGGGGCGAGCTCAATATGTCTAATATGTCACTGTTGATAACACAGGGCGTTTCTCTTTTGATGAATAACTGGGGCATGAACTAAGAGTAATCAAAAAGCCTTAAAAGGACTCTAAACTTTTCCAGCAAAGTCTTTAAGGATTCCCACATTTCTAAACATCCTTTAGGATTTCTATTAGTGGGAATGAAACTTAAAATCTCTGCAGAACTACAGAACCTCATTATAATGCATTTTTATTATTTAAAAGACTCTTTTCCCCTTTATAAGAGGTTCTTGTAGGATTTCCCCAGTCCTATTGGACTTTATTCTATAAATTAGGACTGGTACCAGAATTAACTAGAATTTCTAAATTGGACATTTATTTTGAAATATTAAATGACTTTTTTTTTTTGAGTACACCATGGTGTTATTTAATGATCCATTGAGCTTAATCTTCATCTCCAACCGACTGCATGAACTCACCTCCAGAGGCAGCTCAGGTGTTTCAACAACGTCCTCCCCATCGCAGTTTTCCATCTCGGGCTTTTATTGTGAAGGACTCCGGACCATCGCCAATGAGCCGCCCGCTAGCTTAGCTCCGCGAGCTATCCTTAAAAAAAAAAACCCGCTGCGCTGCTTAACCAACGAGAGCGCGGAAGCTAATAGCCTCCAATAAACTCGCCATGAGTGTCACCCATCACCTAATCGATAACTGGCACAGTACACCAGAGTAATGTCGGAGCAATGAGGGTCAGTGAGTCGCTGTAACGCCGCTTCCTCCCGCTGTCATCCCACTAAGCTACTTTAGCCTCAGGCTGAACCTTCAGTTGGACCAACTGACAGCGGACGTCAGGGAGCGGGGCATTGTGGGAAATGTGGTTTTTCCTGCCCTTTATTTTAAACAGTGTTTCTGTTTACCTGGAAGACCCACAACAAAGAGCCAGTTTGTGTGTTTGACCTAAATAAAACCCCCCTCTCTCCCTTCACAGGCGTTGGTTTGATGCTGGGAAGTTTATTTTGGCATTTTCCTTGAAACAGAAATTTAAAAAAAAAGATGTTTAAGAGCTGCAATTTAATATATATGAGTACAGTAACTCTCTAAACGCAAAATAAACAGCAGCACTGTGGTTGAAACCAGTCACCACATTATATCTGAACCCAGAACAACTGGTATGAAGCACATTTATCTGTCGCTTCCTGTTCACTTTTTGCCGCTTTGGTTTGCGGTTTACACTCTGCAGTGTGGGTCGTGTTGTTTGTCGGGGCGTTTTGGACCGTAAAGGGTTTGATTCTGGGTCAGACAATAAACTCAGGGGACAAAAACATGCTGAAATTTATTTAAAATTATATTTATTTAAACAAAAATCCACCAAAAGACAGGGCTACATCAGTGACAAAAGGATATTGTTATTATTATTATACACACTCACTCTATGTTTAGAGTCTGTTTATATGCATTCATCTCTCCCCTCCTACTACACACACACACACACACACACACACACACACACACATGCAACCATAAAGGAACATTGATAATCCTTTCTACAGATTGTCTGGCAGTATGGTTAGCTGGTTTTTTTTTTTTTACGGGACCATCTTATCAATAATCAAACCATCTATACAAAAAGTACAATTCTCACATTATTACCGAGTCCTAAACACATTTACAGCACAAATTAAAATTAATTTAGCATTATTAGAATGCATCTCTTGAGTGTAGTGACTTTTATATTAACAAGAAAATGAAAATGTGATACATCTAAATAAAAAAAAACCCCAAAAAAACAACAAATATATTTACAATATTGTACAAAACAAACATAAAAGAAAATATGTTAACTGAAGCTGTACAGCAGTGGTATTACACGTATTGATGGATAAATATAGTGATATATTGATTGCTTTGAGACGACATATACAGTAAGTATTAGCATGTAAAATGCAGCGTTGAGGTAATAAGAGGCTAGATGATGTTCGAGCTTGCTATGCTTAAAGTTACAATGGTAACAGACAGAAAATATACATATGAAGTAATCTGGAATGACTTTACGATATCTTTACATATCGTTTATAAACTAGGTCTGTTCAGTTTTCTTTTAAAGCAACTGGTAAAAACTTCAGCAGTGCAAGCTACTCACACCAGCCACGACACAAAGGTAAATGACCAAATAAGGCAAAATGTACTTTGAGGTTTACAAAAGAATCTGTAAACAGTCAGCAGACAACAACAGCAACAAAAAAAACATGTTTGTATGTTTTAAGTAAGACAAGAAGTTCAGCTTTATAGAAATGACTATAAGCAGCTACACAATGAATAATTATGGCTATATGCCGTCCCACACAGAATTCACTCATCATCATCACAGATTCATGAAAATGTGCTTGAATTCTGAGGAGGAAACCGGGGCGAGGGAATGGCTTGCTCCATCGTTGGACGGTCAAATAATTAATAAAGACGAACGCAGTGGGTGGAGGTTGAAAGAAGACTGCAAAGCAATGGGACAAACTAAATAAACGGAGAATCGAGAGGATGTGGTAAAGCACAGCTCATCCTACAACATGTAAAAGTTCGTAGGTACGTTACAACTGCGGAGCATAAAGTAGATAATGTGTCAAAGGTCAGAGTGGAATACAGTACTACTTTGATATGTTTGCAATGAAGTTAGCCCCCCACAACATCAGCAGATCAGGGCCATGTTTTGTTCTCTTACAACACCTCCTCTTTCATCCTCTTTCTCCCTCTTTCATTCAACCATTCTATCAGTTTACAGCAGATAAACTCAACATTGTGTTTTCTTTATTCCCCTTTTATCCCTTCTATTTCCCCCTCCAGTGCTCACAGCTGCCACTCTTCACCTTCTCCTCCTTCCCTTTGTCCTTCAAAAGGCTCATCACAACTTCTTTTCTTTCCTCTTCCCACCCTCGTTCCCTTCATCCTCACTGACACCCTCCTCGCTTTGGTCCACGGCGAGCTTTTCGTCCGCGTCGCCGTGGCACTGCGAAGTGGAGTTGTTGTTGTTGTTGCGGCAACGGGAAGCAGAGCGAAACGTTGCAGACATGGGCGATGGCGTGTCCACCTCTCTGTCAGGTCCGGAGCTGGAGGTGGGAGACGGAGGAGGCAGGGAGGAGGAGATGGAGGGCTGGAAGAGAAGAAATACACCCTTTTTTTTCTTATCACTGTCACATGTGTGTATGTGTGTGTGTGTGTGTGTGTGTGTGTGTGTGTGTACCTGTAATGAGATACTGGACTTGTTGCTCTTCTCTTTGACTTTAGCCAGAACTCCTTTAAGTCCAGAGGATCTCTCCGTCATCTCCAGGGCGGCCCTCAGCAGTCTCGGGGTCTCCTGCCTAACAGGGGCCGCCGGAACCTTAGGCTCTTCTTTGGGCTCAGGTTTCTTTCCCTCAGTTAGCATCTTCCTGTGGTTGAGACAGTAACTTCCATCAGACTTAATACATACAGTGCATCCAATGTTAGAGGTTCAAGATTTTTTATTTGCTCATGAGTAGCTCCATTGATGTTTAACCTGGCTTTCTTGCGGAGCAGTTTCTTGGACTCCGGGTAGTGGACCAGGATCTCATTCAGGTCTTTCTTGTCCAGGATGAAGAGATTAGCAAAACCATGGGCGATGACATTCGCTGTCCGTCGGTTACCGCCGCCTACTGCAAGCAAACTGCCAGTCGGAGAAATTGTGGTTGAAAATGACATTTTTACAACAGGTTTGACATTTAAGTGTCAGGTAAACAGATGAGTCAGTTAGATTTTGTCACGCAATACTTGTATTTCACAAAATAACATGGAAAAGGTTCATGTTTTTCTCAAATACTGTATTTTTTTCCTACTACTTTTTGTACCTTTTGACTAATTCACATACTTTGTAAATTTGTATTTATCTTATGTGTCGTTATATTGGAAAATATACTGAATGTAATAGCCAGTTTCTGCACTCGGAAATGAACTATATCTAATTCTGTTATGTAAATGTAATATCTAAGGTGGAATTATATTGATTGATTTATTTTATTTAGCAAATCTGATGAAGCAACATGTAAAACATGTAGTTCGCTCCTTTTTGTTTTTTAATATAATGAAACTGTGTCAATCCTGGAACGTGCTGGAATATATTTTTGTTGTTTGGTTCACTTAAAGTCAAGACAGGTAAAGATTTATTTTTCATTCAACACCACCTGTAAAAATCTCTTCACCTGATCTCTCCAAAGACCGATCCTGCTCTGAGAGTGACAAACACTGTCCTCCCGTCCGGTCCTCCAACCACCTGCACCTCCCCTGCCTTTATGATGTACATCTCCCGACCCACCTCACCCTGGGTGAGACAGAAGAGAGAAGTGGAGGCAGACAGTGAGAGGGAGAGAGCAATACAAATGGTAAAAACTGAATCCATGTACAGTTGTAGTCTACAAACAAAGCAGGGGCAGGTTTGCAAACAGTACGTACCTTTTTACAGACATAATCCCCGGGCAGGTAGACGACGGAGCGGAGGCTTTTCAGCATGTCAAAGATCATCTGTCGGTCACAACCCTGTTGAGAGAGACGACAGAATCGGTCTCTGTATGGAGAGTTCAATACTGACTGTTTGGTCTGACTTCATGCATTGTACTATTTAGAATATAAGTCCCTAGCAAGTACCCTATGATATTATTTTCATGTGTTTTTAGGAATTCTAACCTGGAAAAGAGGGACTTTGCTGACGATGGAGTAGTTGACGTCTACAGCGATGTCCAGACGCATTTTATCTGGCAACTGAGTCAGCAGCTCCTGCTCATCTGGAAGTCAGGCAATAAGAGGTTAAAGATAATCCAAATGTCAGATGTGTCTAAGATTCATATGAACATGCACACATAATGCTCTCCTTACCCAGCATGCCTTGTGATTGCCAGGTGTAGTTGTACCAGGTTTTGACGCGGTTCTGGACGTCTTTGGGGATGTGATAGGAGGACATGTATTTGATAGTGTTGTCCATGCATGTGCGGTAGTAGGTCTGACCCGCTGTGGCCGCACCAACCACATCACGCATCTGAGAGTGAGCAAAATGAGCCGATTGAGGAATAAAGTTTGTTCATTTCAACACTATCGTTGCACAACGAAATGTATGAAGTGAAGTGCCTAATGACAGCACACTGGGGCTTTATATTCATATATCTACCTGTCCAATCATGATGGAGAAGGCGAAGACTCCAACAAAGTAGTTGATGAGTTGAAAGACAATCTCAAACAGGGTGGTGGGGTCTGGCAGTCCACCAATCGTGATCAAGGTCTTCACCGCAAAGTAGTAACAGCGAATGTAACTGAGCAGAGACAAAGAGAGGAGGCATTAGAAAGAGGCAGGACAAGGAAACACTTTCAAATGAACATAGTTTTAAAATAAAATGATTTAATCAGCCATGCACCAATCGATCACCTTCAAAGGTCCAGTGTGGACCTTTAATCCCAAAGCAGTCATGTGGTTTGTGTCTGTAGTTTGTGTGTGTTTGTGATTATTCCACCAACCTGTTGCCCTCGCCATTGTACACCCACTTGGTTGATCCTATTCCCTGATAGGCAGAGCCCCAGTAGTACAGACAAGCATTGCAATGGAGACAGTAAAGAAGGTAGGTGGTGGTGCGAATCACCCTGAGAGACAAAGAGTGAGACAGACAGAAACCAAACCACCCAGTTATTTGTTCATCTGTGTAATATCTCAAGGAAACAGATAAAGACAAGAGAGAATTTAAGGACAGTGAGACACCATCAGGTTGCAGCTGACCTGTAGATGAAGGCTTTGGTCAAGATGGCCTCCAGACGCTCGTTGAAC